CCGCACAGCCTCCTGCACAAACTCAGGGTCGCCCAGTCTAGTTTTGAGGCGCCTCTAACTCGGCTGGACGCTAACCCGCACAGCCTCCTGCACAAACTCAGGGTCGCCCAGTCTAGTTTTGAGGCGCCTCTAACTCGGCTGGACGCTAACCCGCACAGCCTCCTGCACAAACTCAGGGTCGCCCAGTCTAGTTTTGAGGCGCCTCTAACTCGGCTGGACGCTAACCCGCACAGCCTCCTGCACAAACTCAGGGTCGCCCAGTCTAGTTTTGAGGCGCCTCTAACTCGGCTGGACGCTAACCCGCACAGCCTCCTGCACAAACTCAGGGTCGCCCAGTCTAGTTTTGAGGCGCCTCTAACTCGGCTGGACGCTAACCCGCACAGCCTCCTGCACAAACTCAGGGTCGCCCAGTCTAGTTTTGAGGCGCCTCTAACTCGGCTGGACGCTAACCCGCACAGCCTCCTGCACAAACTCAGGGTCGCCCAGTCTAGTTTTGAGGCGCCTCTAACGCGGCTGGACGCTAACCCGCACAGCCTCCTGCACAAACTCAGGGTCGCCCAGTCTAGTTTTGAGGCGCCTCTAACGCGGCTGGACGCTAACCCGCACAGCCTCCTGCACAAACTCAGGGTCGCCCAGTCTAGTTTTGAGGCGCCTCTAACGCGGCTGGACGCTAACCCGCACAGCCTCCTGCACAAACTCAGGGTCGCCCAGTCTAGTTTTGAGGCGCCTCTAACGCGGCTGGACGCTAACCCGCACAGCCTCCTGCACAAACTCAGGGTCGCCCAGTCTAGTTTTGAGGCGCCTCTAACGCGGCTGGACGCTAACCCGCACAGCCTCCTGCACAAACTCAGGGTCGCCCAGTCTAGTTTTGAGGCGCCTCTAACGCGGCTGGACGCTAACCCGCACAGCCTCCTGCACAAACTCAGGGTCGCCCAGTCTAGTTTTGAGGCGCCTCTAACGCGGCTGGACGCTAACCCGCACAGCCTCCTGCACAAACTCAGGGTCGCCCAGTCTAGTTTTGAGGCGCCTCTAACGCGGCTGGACGCTAACCCGCACAGCCTCCTGCACAAACTCAGGGTCGCCCAGTCTAGTTTTGAGGCGCCTCTAACGCGGCTGGACGCTAACCCGCACAGCCTCCTGCACAAACTCAGGGTCGCCCAGTCTAGTTTTGAGGCGCCTCTAACGCGGCTGGACGCTAACCCGCACAGCCTCCTGCACAAACTCAGGGTCGCCCAGTCTAGTTTTGAGGCGCCTCTAACGCGGCTGGACGCTAACCCGCACAGCCTCCTGCACAAACTCAGGGTTGTTACGATGCGATCTTAACTGGTAACCGGATTTAAGGAGGGCCTAGGCTTAGTAGCCTAGGCCAAGTTATTGTCGAGGTCAAGGCCAAGGGAGTGTCGATAGAAATTGACCAAACAAGTTTGGCTTCACTAAAGCAAAGCATACAAGATATAGTCGAGAAACACAAGCAAGAGGTGCACCACCAACAGCAAAGAACAATAACTACAGTAACTACAGCAAGCAGGATATATCTTAAATATAACTTTGACACACCCCCTTAGCCTGCTTGCAGTAGGAACTAGAGTAGTCAACACCCCCTGAACGGGTATAGCTGGCGCAGTGGGAGACGGCAGAGGGGTACGTGAGGGGAGGCGGCGAGAGGGAGAGAGGAGAGGAGAGGAGATGAGAACACAGGAGGAGGTGAGTGAGGGATGAGGAGAGGAGGTGGGGGGGTGGCCGCGGCGTCCCCTCTTACTAACCCCCTTTTACGAAAGGGGGGTTGAGTGGGGGATGAGGAGAGGAGGTGGGGGGGTGGCCGCAGCGTCCCCTCTTACTAACCCCCACATCCCCACCCCCAATCAACCACCCTCCTTCAACCTCACCCCCCATTTCAGCCACCCCCTGGAACCGCACCCCCTCCCTCCCTTCCTTCCTCCACACCCCTGCCCAACCCACAGTTGTCTCTGCCCTGTCCTTCACACTGCAGCCAGCCCTCCCACCCCCCCGCTCCCGCCACCTACCCCCCACAGTAGCAGCCGCGGGAGGGGAGAGGCAGGGCAGAGGGTGGTGCTCTGCTGGCGGGGTTCTCTGCTGGCGGGGTTCTCTGCTGGCGGGGTTCTCTGCTGGTGGGGTTCTCTGCTGGCGGGGTTCTCTGCTGGCGGGGTTCTCTGCTGGTGGGGTTCTCTGCTGGCGGGGTTCTCTGCTGGCGGGGTCTCGTGCTGGCGGCTGGCCCTGGAGCTGGTGCTGGTGCTGGCGGCTGGCCCTGGAGCTGGTGTTGGTGCTGGCGGCTGGCCCTGGTGCTGGTGCTGGTGCTGGCGGCTGGCCCTGGAGCTGGTGCTGGTGCTGGCGGCTGGCCCTGGTGCTGGTGCTGGTGCTGGCGGCTGGCCCTGGAGCTGGTGCTGGTGCTGGCGGCTGGCCCTGGAGCTGGTGCTGGTGCTGGCGGCTGGCCCTGGAGCTGGTGCTGGTGCTGGCGGCTGGCCCTGGAGCTGGTGCTGGCGGCTGGCCCTGGAGCTGGTGCTGGTGCTGGCGGCTGGCCCTGGTGCTGGTGCTGGTGCTGGCGGCTGGCCCTGGTGCTGGTGCTGGTGCTGGCGGCTGGCCCTGGAGCTGTTGCTGGTGCTGGCGGCTGGCCCTGGAGCTGGTGCTGGTGCTGGCGGCTGGCCCTGGTGCTGGCGGCTGGCCCTGGTGCTGGTGCTGGTGCTGGCGGCTGGCCCTGGAGCTGGTGCTGGTGCTGGCGGCTGGCCCTGGAGCTGGTGCTGGTGCTGGCGGCTGGCCCTGGAGCTGGTGCTGGTGCTGGCGGCTGGCCCTGGAGCTGGTGCTGGTGCTGGCGGCTGGCCCTGGAGCTGGTGCTGGTGCTGGCGGCTAGCCCTGGTGCTGGTGCTGGTGCTGGCGGCTGGCCCTGGTGCTGGTGCTGGTGCTGGCCGCTGGCCCTGGTGCCTGGTGCCTGGTGCTGATGGGGCGCGACGGGTGGGACGAGCTGGAGAAGGGCTACAGGCTGGGCGGGATCTGACGGTAGGAGGCGCGCAAGCGCTGGTGCGATCGCCGGTGCTCTGGCGGTGATCGCTGGTTTTCCGCCGCCACTCCCTTCCCCCTTTTCCTCTCTCCCCCACAGCATTCCGCCGCCACTCCCTTCCCCCTTTCCCTCTCCCCCCCACAGCGTTCCGCTGCCACTCCCTTCCCCTTTTCCCTCTCCCCCCCACAGCGACCGCCGCTGCACACGCGAACAGCCGCGACTGGGGGGGTGACGGGCATGGGGCGCGGGTAATGCGACGGGCAGAGTGGCAGCGGGCTACGGTGCTCCGGGGCGACGGGAAGCAGGGCGGGGTTCGAGTGGCGTACGGGCGACGGGTGGGGTGCGGGTGGCGTACAGGCGACGGGCAGGGTGCGGGTTGCGGCGAGCGGAACGGGGGGACGTAACGGGTGGCGCGACGCGACGGCAGGGCCCGCGCGGGTCCGGATCAACGAGAACGAGGGCCCGCGGGGGTCCTTAACTAGCGCAAGAACGGGGCCCGCAGGGGGCCCTTAACTAGCACAAGATCGGGGCCCGCGCGGGCCCTTAACTAGCGCGAGAACGGGGCCCGCGGGGGGGTCCTTAGGCTAGCGCGAGAATGGGGCCCGTGGGGAGCCGCGTTACGATACGAATGGGGCGACGGAGCACGGGGCGACGGGCTAACGGAGCGCGGGGCGGTGGGCCCATGTGAGAATCGACTGGCTCTATACCATGTCAGAATCCCAACCACTAGACCATTGGGATAAAAGGGCTTGTTAAGTAGCGGGTCAGTGCGCCCATGGAAACAAGCCCTTTTATCCCAATGGTCTAGTGGTTGGGATTCTGACGTGCTATCAGAGCGAAGGTCTCGGGTTCGAATCCCAATGTGTGCACTTCGGGCATCCCAGTGCGGGGGGGTGTCAGAGGTCCACTGGTGATCCCCGATTGATCCTAGGGAAGGGTTACAGGCTCGTTGTCCTGGGGGGTTATGGGCGCACTGACCCGCCACTTAACAAGCCCTTTTATCCCAGTGGTCTAGTGACTGGGATTCTGACAAGGGTCGCCCAGTCTAGTTTTGAGGCGCCTCTATCGCAGCTGGACGCTAACCCGCACAGCCTCCTACACAAACTCAGGGTCGCCCAGTCTAGTTTTGAGGCGCCTCTAACTCAGCTGACGCTAACCCGCACAGCATCCTGTACAAACTCAGGGTCGCCCAAGCGCTGCTCCAGCTGCTGGTGCACCCCCAGCAGGCGCAGCAGCAGGTGCAGCAGTATCAGCGAGCGCAGCACGACCGGAGGGTTAGAGGAGACGTCAGCAATGGCGATGGCGGGAAGGGCAGGTTGATCGTGCTCAGCCCTCGCAGACCCCCGCCCAGGCCAGGGTTATTCGTTACAGCTTCGTTATTCGTTTATTCTGTGCACTCTGTTAGACAACTCATGTAACAAATCAGTAACTCTTCTTTATGTTTCATCAACCAATCTGAGCCAATGTGAATCTAGTATAGACACCTAGCATTGGAATGCCGTTTTGTACGAACGAATGCGAGATGAAGCACAGAAACCGTTTTTAGACATTGAAAGCTCTGCTTCACCACGTTGTTTGAGTCAGTTACAATGTCTTGAATACAACACCCGATCCAATGTAATTTGCACACTATTAATCATGAACATTCCTGTAGACGATTTCAAGCTCCTCCTCCAGTTGCCTACAATCCAGTGAAGCTTGTACTTTTGCATCTAACTGCCTGGCTACTCTCTCCTGTTTTCCACCCATCAGCTCCATGTGTAGAGTTTCAAGCTGAAATAGCACATGGCTCATACTGGGTCGATTTGATACGAGCTTTGCAACACATGAGAGAGAAATGTCAACTAGCTTGCAGGCCATGGCATGTGGTGCATTGAGATCCCTGCTGACAACAGACGCACTGCCCCCTCTCTCCACCTCCTGCTCCACCTGTCATGATTGGGAGGATGAGAAAGAGGGAGGGTGGACTTTTGGGTCGACTCAAAAGTCATTGAGATCCCCCGTTGACAGCAGACGCACTGTCCCCTTTCCCCACCTCCTGCTCCACCTGTCAACATTGGGAGGAAGGAACAGGGGAGGTTGAGAGAAGGTGTTGGAAGGAGGGGGTGAGAGGACAGGGAAGAGGCAGGGGGATCAAGACAAGGAGGGAAGTGAGGGGGAACTAGAAGGAGGAAGAGAGATGGAGAGAGTGAGAGGGGGTATGGTAGGGTTTTCATGAAAAAAAACAACTGTGGCGTGACTGGAAAATTTCCAACATACGAAAAGTCAAAGAAGTAGAATAGTTGGTGGGAAGGAAGAAAGAAGGAGCAGCAGCATACCCAGTCCTTGATGTTGTTTTGTGATCGGTCTTCTCAGCGAGCAGCAGGTTTAGTTCAGGCTTAAAGCAGAAGAAAGACAGTAAAAAAAACCGCCTGTACTTAGAAGCAGCAGCTTACCCAGTCCTTGATGTTGATTTGTGATCCATTTTCACATAGCAGCACGACATGCTTGCCGGTCAGTAGCTCCATCATGAGCACTCCGAAGCTGGGAAGAGAGGGAGGGAGGGAGGGAGGGAGGGAGGGTGGGAGGGAGGGAGGGAGGGAGGGAGGGAGGGAGGGAGGGAGGGAGGGAGGGAGGGAGGGAGGGAGGGAGGGAGGGAGGGAGGGAGAGAGAAAAGCAGAAAGAAGACTAAACAAGATAAGAGAGCGGTGTGCAGGACAGGTCGGACAAGTGGCTCTTGGTGAGCAACCATGCGGAACCATGTGCAACCACGTGCAACCACGTGCAACCACGTGCAACCACGTGCAACCACGTGCAACCACATGCAACCACATGCAACCACATGCAACCATGTGCATCAAAGACACTGGAGCGAAAAGAGAGCACCTGAGTGAGACGAGAGATGAACACATGCGTATGCACATGTGCACATGCACACGCCTTCTCACTTGTACACATCAGCACTTGGAGTGGCCTTGTGAGTGATGGAGTATACGGGGTCCACATAGCCTGCTTTTGAGTCGACTCAGAAGCCCACCTGTACACATCAGCACTTGGAGTGGCCTTGTGAGTGATGGAGTAGACGGGGTCCACATAGCCTGGTGTGCCCATCACTCGAGTGGACTGCAGTGAGCCGCTGCCCTCGCCCATTCTCAGCAAACCAAAGTCTGACACTTTCGCCTGCAAAATGGAGAAGAGAGCACCATCAGCGCCTGCACTCGCCTGCACTCGCCTGCACTCGCCTGCACTCGCCTGCATGTGTGCATCAAGCAGGATGTTGGCGGGCTTGATGTCCCACAGGATGCATGATGCCAAAGCTATGCAGATACTGCAAGTGCTGTGAAGGTACCGCATCTATCTACTCCCATGCTTGACGCTGTTGCTCACCTGCATATGCTTGTCAAGCAGGATGTTTGCAGGTTTGATGTCGCGATGCATGATGCCAAAGCTGTGCAGATACTCCAGCGTGCGCGCCACTCCTATCAGAATGTCCAGCCGCTGCTGCAGGGTCAGGGGGGGTATATTACCTGAAGAACAAAGCAAAAAACAGAAGTAGTGGAAAGGAATTAGAAGAAAAGTGCAGGAGCAGAACAAGAGCAGCAAGAGGAGGAGCAGGCAAGAGCAGCAAGAGGAGGAGCAGGCAGTCGTGCCCACCTGTATCATTGCCATGCATGCCATGGTGCCCACCTGTATCATTGCCATGCATGCCATGGTGCCCACCTGTATCATTGCCATGCATGCCATGGTGCCCACCTGTATCATTGCCATGCATGCCATGGTGCCCACCTGTATCATTGCCATGCATGCCATGGTGCCCACCTGTATCATTGCCATGCATGCCATGGTGCCCACCTGTATCATTGCCATGGTGCCCACCTGTATCATTGCCATGGTGCCCACCTGTATCATTGCCATGGTGCCCACCTGTATCATTGCCATGGTGCCCACCTGTATCATTGCCATGGTGCCCACCTGTATCATTGCCATGGTGCCCACCTGTGGCATCCCCATGCATGCGGCGGTACAGGTCCCCATGGGGCATGAACTTATAGATGGCGATCTTCTCCATGCGCTCCGCTGCTGCATCATAGTCCATGCAGAACCCCAGCAGCCGCACCAGGTTGGGGTGGTGCCTCGATGCCATCTCGTTGATCTGTGCGGGGGATGTGTATGGGGGGATGTGTATGGGGGGATGTGGATGGGGGGATGTGGATGGGGGGAGAGATCAAATCAGGGAGGCAGCAATGTGCCCTCTCGAGTATTCTCAGCTGCCTTGTCCACCTCAATGCAGAGCCTCAGCAGCCGCACCAGGTTCGGGTGGTGCTTTGATGCCATCTCGTTGATCTGTGAGGGGGATGTGTATGGGGGGATGGGGGGAGGGATCAGGGAGGCAGGAATGTGCCCTCTCGAGTATTCTCAGCTGCCTTGTCCACCTCAAGGCAGAATCCCAGCAGCCGCCGCCGCACCAGGTTGGGGTGGTGCTTCGATGCCATCTTGTTAATTTGACACCCCGCCAACGGAGCGAGGCAGGGAGGGAGTGATAGGGTAGGATGGGGGAACAAGTTGAGGAGGGTGGGGGGTAGAATAGGGGGGCATGAAGGTGGAGGGACCTGCAGGGGCAAAACACAGCATCAAATCAATAGCTTATGCTTCTTGCATTTCGCTTCATTTTATTCCCCAACTTGGCTTCCACCTAAGTGCAACTTGGCCTCTCTCTAGAGCCATTGCCCTCTTACGTCGTTGCTGGTGAGCACGTCTCTCATTATACCGCCCCTACTCTCACCCCCATCCCATCAATATCAACCCACATCATCCCACCAACCTCACCTCGCGTCGGAAGTCGTTAGTGAGCACTCTGGCGTGCTTCACAGCCCAGAGCGTGCAGCCGTCGACAATTGAGTTGGCTCAAAAGTCACAACACAACAACCTCATCTCGCGTCGAAAGTCGTTGGTGAGCACTCTGGCGCGCTTCACAGCCCAGGGCGCCCGTCACAGCCCAGGGCGTGCAGCCATCATGTGCAGCCGTCACTTTGAGTCGACTGAAAACACACATATCACTACCACCCCACCCACCTCGCGTCGAAAGTCGTTGGTGAGCACTCTGGCGCGCTTCACAGCCCAGGGCGTGTAGCCGTCGAGGGGGCTCACTCCTCGGTACACGTCGCCATACCCGCCGCTGCCTATGCGCCTCTCCTCCGCCCACCCTCCTGTCGCCCGCAGCACGTCCGCCATGCCCACCTGCTGGCACAGCAGCAGCACTGGGGGGAGGGCGGAGGAGGAGGGGGCGACCACAGGAGGAGGGGGAGGAAGCTGCGAAGGAGGGATGGAAGGATTGGGAGATGAGGAGGAGGCAGGGACAGTGTGGGAAAGATTGTCCCACGAGTCCAAATGCTCATTTCCCCTATTGCCTGCCACGACACCCCTCCCTCCTCCCTGCAAGTCCCCTTTGTGATTCTCCCCCTCTTCCTCCATCTGCCTCAGTGCTGCTGCCACGTCATCACGCACTATCTCCAGCTCAGCAACGACTCGTCCCAAGGAGGGCCGGGAGGAGGCCGGCATGGCGGTGCATGCAAGCCCGAGACGAGCCAGCCGCACCAGACTTGGTATAAGAACATTCGGTATGGGAACAATGGGAACACCGGGTGTGGTATCAGCAGCGCTGGCAGCCGCTGTGTCTGCAGTGGTGGTGGTGCTGATGGTGCTAGAGGGTGCGCTGGTGCTGCTGGTGGCGCTGCTGGTGAGACTGCTGGCGGTGCTGCTGGTCGGGATGCTGGCGCTGGTATCGGTGGTGGGTGGGAGGAAAGAGGAGGCGAGGGCGGGATCGAAGAGAGCAGCAAAGTTGTTGGCTTGAAGCTGCGTTTCAAGGTGGTGCGGGGTGAAGGGCAGGGGGGGGGGGGGGAAGACAGAGGGGTATTTCCTCTTGAATGTAGGGTTTCGGGTTTAGATTTTAGACCTCTAAGGTGTGATGCTGACTTCAGACCTGCAACATGAACCTGAAAACAGAAACAGTGTGACCCAGAGAAGGTGGGTAGATGCTGGGAAACAGGTTGTAGGAGAAGCATGGAGGGAGGAACATGGGGGACGGAGCAAGGGGGGAGGAACATAGAGGGTGGAGCATGGAGGGTGGAGCATGGAGGGTGGAGCATGGAGGGTGGAGCATGGAGGGTGGAGCATGGAGGGTGGAGCATGGAGGGTGGAGCATGGAGGGTGGAGCATGGAGGGTGGAGCATGGAGGGTGGAGCATGCAGGGTGGAGCATGCAGGGTGGAGCATGCAGGGTGGAGCATGCAGGGTGGAGCATGCAGGGTGGAGCATGCAGGGTGGAGCATGCAGGGTGGAGCATGCAGGGTGGAGCATGCAGGGTGGAGCATGAAGGGTGGAGCATGGAGGGTGGAGCATGGAGGGTGGAGCATGCAGGGTGGAGCATGCAGGGTGGAGCATGCAGGGTGGAGCATGCAGGGTGGAGCATGCAGGGTGGAGCATGAAGGGTGGAGCATGAAGGGTGGAGCATGGAGGGTGGAGCATGGAGGGTGGAGCATGCAGGGTGGAGCATGCAGGGTGGAGCATGCAGGGTGGAGCATGGAGGGTGGAGCATGGAGGGTGGAGCATGAAGGGTGGAGCATGCAGGGTGGAGCATGCAGGGTGGAGCATGAAGGGTGGAGCATGGAGGGTGGAGCATGGAGGGTGGAGCATGGAGGGTGGAGCATGGAGGGTGGAGCATGAAGGGTGGAGCATGAAGGGTGGAGCATGAAGGGTGGAGCATGAAGGGTGGAGCATGAAGGGTGGAGCATGAAGGGTGGAGCATGAAGGGTGGAGCATGAAGGGTGGAGCATGAAGGGTGGAGCATGAAGGGTGGAGCATGAAGGGTGGAGCATGAAGGGTGGAGCATGAAGGGTGGAGCATGGAGGGAGGAGCATGGAGGGAGGAGCATGGAGGGAGGAGCATGGAGGGAGGAGCATGGAGGGAGGAGCATGGAGGGAGGAGCATGGAGGGAGGAGCATGGAGGGAGGAGCATGGAGGGAGGAGCACAAGGAGAAGAGCACGAGGGGAGGAGCGAAAAAAAAATCAGTTACCAGTAGCGATAAGGAAAGATAGGAGTGGGGGGGTCTCTTGGTTTCCGCATCAGTGGGTGTGGGTGGTTGAGTCTCCTGCTGCCTTACCATAGCGGTGCCTTACCATAGCGGTGCCTTACCATAGCGGTGCCTTACCATAGCGGTGCCTTACCATAGCGGTGAACGAAAGGAAGACCTGCCCCCCCCCCCCCAATGCTCCTCTCGCACTCACAGCCTCTCTGAAAAGCTCTGGCATGGCCTTCCCTGAAGCGTCGGAAATGCGGCCTGACAGCAGCTGCAGCAGCACCACTCCCAGACTGGTGGCAGCGGGCGAAGGGGGGGGAGCAGGGACGGGTGGGAAGAAGGGGACGGGTGGGAAGAAGGGGACAGGTGGGAGGAAGGGGATGGGTGGGAGGAAGGGGATGGGTGGGAGGAAGGGGATGGGTGGGAGGAAGAAGATGGGTGGGAGGAAGGGGATGGGTGGGACGAAGGGGATGGGCGGGACGAAGGGGATGGGTGGGACGAAGGGGATGGGTGGGACGAGGGGGAGGAGAGGAGCGGCACGCAGGGGAGCGAGCAGGGAGGGAGGGAAAATGAAGGAGTATATGGGGTAGTGCAGACTCTCCAAGAGTTGAGAGCGGAGCATGGCACTGGGAGCAACAAGCTAGCCAGCCTCCACGTTCATGCACTTGGCCTCTAAGAGTGCTTTGGAAGCAACCGAGAGAGTTGAAAAACATTGTCGTGGCACCCGTAGAGGTCGTTAGTGGGTGTGTGCTCCTGGGTGAGCAGCAGGTGTGGGACCACATGTGACGTACCCACGCACGCCCACCACCGCATGCTGCTCGCCACTCTCGATAATAGTTGGGTGTTGAGACGTCTCAAAACCAGATTTCTATAACGCCGCACCTGTAGAGGTCATTGGTGGGTGTGTGCTCCTGGGTGAGCAGCAGGTGCGGGTCCACGTACCCACGCACGCCCAACACCGCGAGCTGGTATGTGAGGTCCCACGGGTCGGGTCCTCACTCATGGGGAGGAGCAGCAAGGTGGAGATCCTCGTACCTGTAGAGGTCGTTAGTGGGTGTGTGCTCCTGGGTGAGCAGCAGGTGCGGGTCCACGTACCCCCGCACGCCCACCACCGCTTTTGAGTCGACTCAGAAACCTTGCTGCTCTTCCCCGTGAGTGAGGTCCCGTGGGACCTCACGTACCTGTAGAGGTCGTTGGTGGGCGTTAGTGGTTGCATGCGTGGGTTACGCGCACCCGCACCTGTAGAGGTCGTTGGTGGGCGTTAGTGGTTGCATGCGTGGGTTACGCGCACCCGCACCTGTAGAGGTCGTTGGTGGGCGTTAGTGGTTGCATGCGTGGGTTACGCGCACCCGCACCTGTAGAGGTCGTTGGTGGGCGTTAGTGGTTGCATGCGTGGGTTACGCGCACCCGCACCTGTAGAGGTCGTTGGTGGGCGTTAGTGGTTGCATGCGTGGGTTACGCGCACCCGCACCTGTAGAGGTCGTTGGTGGGGGTTAGTGGTTGCATGCGTGGGTTACGCGCACCCGCACCTGTAGAGGTCGTTGGTGGGCGTTAGTGGTTGCATGCGTGGGTTACGCGCACCCGCACCTGTAGAGGTCGTTGGTGGGCGTTAGTGGTTGCATGCGTGGGTTACGCGCACCCGCACCTGTAGAGGTCGTTGGTGGGCGTTAGTGGTTGCATGCGTGGGTTACGCGCACCCGCACCTGTAGAGGTCGTTGGTGGGCGTTAGTGGTTGCATGCGTGGGTTACGCGCACCCGCACCTGTAGAGGTCGTTGGTGGGCGTTAGTGGTTGCATGCGTGGGTTACGCGCACCCGCACCTGTAGAGGTCGTTGGTGGGTGTGTGCTCCTGGGTGAGCAGCAGGTGTGGGTCCACGTACCCACGCACGCCCAACACCGCGTGCTGCTCGCCACTCGCTGCAGCCCTGCGCGTCGTCACATAGTCAAACCCCGCAATCTTTGCCTGCCGTGGTGTTGTGTTGGGCAAGTGTGGTGCAGTGACGTGCGGGGCGGGCGGGGTGGCCTCACGTCGTGTGGCCGGGCAGGAGGGGAGGGGGTGGGAAGAGGGAGAGGGGGGAATGCTTTCTAAAGCATCAGTGTAACAGGGCAGGGTAACCAGGTCCTATACGGACGTTGCTCCACACCACCACACAAGTCCACGATATTGATCGATTCCGTAATTTCCAGTTTGCAGCATGTTTGCGTGTCATGTGGTGTCATGTTGTGTCGTGTGGTGTCGTGTGGTGTCGCGTGGTGTCGTGTGGTGTTGTGTGGAGGATGATGGTGGCCTCGCAGCCCACTCACTGACCTGCATGCTGCCATCCAGAAAAATGCTTCTAATGCAAAGGCAGCGGTGCAGGATGCCAAAGCTGTGCAGATACTCCAGCCCGTGCGCCACCCCTATGAGAATGTCCAGCCGCTGCTGCAGGGTCAACGGCACGCCGGTGCAACCTGCGAGGAGAAGAGGATAAAGAATGCGATGTAGGGTAGATAGGTTGAAATCACGCACCAACGTTACTGAATAGAACGCGTGCGGTGGGCAAATAGGAGGCCAAGGGCAGGGAGACCTAGCAGAGCCATGGGAAGCGGGTCAAGGGGGGCAAATGCACAAAAGAAGTACACGAGGCAGAACAGGAAAGGAGAAGAGCGAGAGAGAGGAAGAACAGGCACGCACCTACAAGCTTGAAGTTGGCATGTGTACTTACTGCACCTACATGCTTGAAGTTGGCATGTGTACTTACTGCACCTACATGCTTGAAGTTGGCATGTGTACTTACTGCACCTACATGCTTGAAGTTGGCATGTGTACTTACTGCACCTACAAGCTTGAAGTTGGCATGTGTACTTACTGCACCTACATGCTTGAAGTTGGCATGTGTACTTACTGCACCTACAAGCTTGAAGTTGGCATGTGTACTTACTGCACCTACAAGCTTGAAGTTGGCATGTGTACCTACATGCTTGAAGTTGGCATGTGTACTTACTGCACCTACATGCTTGAAGTTGGCATGTGTACTTACTGCACCTACATGCTTGAAGTTGGCATGTGTACTTACTGCACCTACATGCTTGAAGTTGGCATGTGTACTTACTGCACCTACATGCTTGAAGTTGGCATGTGTACTTACTGCACCTACAAGCTTGAAGTTGGCATGTGTACCTACATGCTTGAAGTTGGCATGTGTACTTACTGCACCTACATGCTTGAAGTTGACATGTGTACTTACTGCACCTACATGCTTGAAGTTGGCATGTGTACTTACTGCACCTACATGCTTGAAGTTGGCATGTGTACTTACTGCACTTACTTTTGAGACGTCTCAAAACTTTCAAGACGTCTCAAAAGGCAAGCACCTACATGTTTGGAGTTGGCACGCACATGCACTTCCTGCACTTACAACAACAACAAAGGCTCAGTCAGAAAGAGAGGTGTGTGATGTGATGCGGCATGCCTGACCCACCCGGTTGAAACATGTCGAGAAGGCAGCCAGATGTCATGAATTCATACACCACCACCTGCTCCCACCGCCCCTGCTTCATTTTTAGTCGACTCAAGAATCGCGATGCGGCATGCCTGACCCACCCGGTTGAAACATGTCGAGAAGGCAGCCAGATGTCATGAATTCATACACCACCACCTGCTCCCACCGCCCCTGCTTCATTTTTAGTCGACTCAAGAATCGCGATGCGGCATGCCTGACCCACCCGGTTGAAACATGTCGTGAAAGCTGCCAGCTGTCATGAACTCATACACCACCACCTTCTCCCACCGCCCCTGCTTGTCTCGCTCATCACAGTACCCCAGCAGCCGCACCAGGTTGGGATGGTTCTTGTTGCCCATCTCCGCCACCTGGGGGAAGGCAAGGCAAGCCAGGGGTGGGGGGCGGCTGGGAGGGGATTCAGGGAGGGAGAGGGCAAGAGGAGCAGGCGCACGAGGTTGGGGTGGTTCTTGTTGCCCATCTCCGCCACCTGGGGGAAGGCAAGGCAAGCCAGGGGTGGGGGGCGGCTGGGAGGGGATTCAGGGAGGGAGAGGGCAAGAGGAGCAGGCTCACGAGGTTGGGGTGGTTCTTGTTGCCCATCTCCGCCACCTGGGGGACGGCAAGGCAAGCAGAGGGGTGCGGAGCGTGTTTTGAGTCGACTCAAAACACCAAGTTGGGGTGGTTCTTGTTTCCCATCTCCGCCACCTGGGGGAAGGCAAGGCGCAAGCGGGGGGGAGAGGGAGGGAAGGGGTCGTCCAGTGCTTTTACTACAGGGAGGTGAGGTGGTTCTTGCTGCCCATCTCCGCCACCTGGGGGACGGCAAGGCGCAAGCGGGGGGAAGGCACGGGGCACGCGGGGGGAAGGGGGAGGAAAGGGGTCGTCCAGTGCTTCTACTACAGTGGGGTGGTTCTTGTTGCCCATCCTCGCCACCTGGGGGAAGGTGGGCCGCAAGCGGGGGGTGGGGAGCGGTGAAGGCAAGTCAGGAGGTGGGGAGCGGTGAAAGCAATTCAGGAGGTGGGGAGCGGTGAAGGCAAGTCAGGAGGTGGGGAGCGGTGAAGGCAAGAGGTGGGGAGCGGTGAAGGCAAGTCAGGAGGTGGGGAGCGGTGAAGGCAAGTCAGGAGGTGGGGAGCGGTGAAGGCAAGTCAGGAGGTGGGGAGCAGTGAAGGCAAGTCAGGAGGTGGGGAGCGGTGAAGGCAAGTCAGGAGGTGGGGAGCGGTGAAGGCAAGTCAGGAGGTGGGGAGCGGTGAAGGCAAGTCAGGAGGTGGGGAGCGGTGAAGGCAAGTCAGGAGGTGGGGAGCGGTGAAGGCAAGTCAGGGGGTGGGGGGCGGGTGGGGGGGGAGGGAGAGGGCAAGAGGAGCAACGCTTCACACTCCCTCGCCCACGCTTCACACGTGATAGTGTGACGGCGTGGCAGTGTGACAGCGTGGCAGTGTGACAGCGTGGCAGTGTGACAGCGTGGCAGTGTGACAGCGTGGCAGTGTGACAGCGTGGCGGTGTGACAGCGTGGCAGTGTGACAGCGTGGCCTTATCAGACGGACTCCCCGTGGTGTGGGGGACGACACGACAATGCAGAGCGGTTTTCCTTGGGAAATGTGTGCAGTGTGATCTGTGGTTGAACTCGAAACATCAAAATCTAGTGGTCAATCTTATAAACAGCACAGTTGAAGAGGCTGCAGAATGTCACCCGTGCCTCACTTTCCTTCCCTCTCCTCCTTTCTCTTCATCTTGCACCTTCCCCCTCTCCTCCCCATCACCCCTCCTCTCTCTGTTCTCCAAATCGACACTCTTCCGTCCCCTTCCCCCTTCTCCCCCCATCACCTCCGCTACGAATTCTTCAAACTCCCGGGTGCGGCAGCGCAGTGACTTATGAGTCGACTGAAAAGTCGATTCATAAGTATTCCCGCGCTCCCCCCCTCACTTCCGCTTGAAACTCCTCAAACTCCCGGGCGCGGCAGCGCTTTAACAGCCACAGGCAGGTCTACGACCTTTTGAGTCGACTCAGAAGTCCCCCCCTCACCTCTGCCTGAAACTCTTCAAACTCGCGGGCGCGACAGATCTTCAAGAGCCACATGGTGACGCCGTCCCGCGGGTCCACGCCCTTGTACATGAGGCGGTACCCGTCGCCCACGAGACACTGCGGTGCCCAGTGGTTTGTCGCGGTTAACATGTCCGCCAGGGAGAACTGCACACAGGCGCCCTGGATGGGGGCGGCTAGGGGGAGGGGGAGGGGGAGGGGGAGGGGGAGGGGGAGGGGGAGGGGGAGGGGGAGGGGGAGGGGGAGGGGGAGGGGAAGGGGTGTGGGGGTAAGCGGCGAGCAAGGCAATTCTGGGGAGGAAGAGGGGAGGAGCGGCGTGGGAGGGAGGGAGAGAGGAGCAAGATACACAGAGAGGAGAAAATACAGAAGCCGGAGAAAACGGAACGAGCAGAAAGACAGCTATCGCTAGGCGTTGAGCAAAGTACCGACAGCTCGGTAAGGATGGCTTGCCTCTCGCAGTGTCCGCTTGCTTGGCCTTGCCCGACTTGCCAAGAATCTTCCGCATCCTCGTCCACGTCAGCACACCACCACTCACGGCGAACCACGTCGCATTAAGGGCCGAACATCCCAGCGCAAATCGGTCGTCAGAACTGATTTGCCTGGGTCGTCAGAGGGGGTCGTCCGAGCCGGGCCTGACGCGCGTGCGGGCCCGCCAGCCTGGCCCAGGGCTGGGCCGAGCGCACGACCGCCGCCCCGCCACCCCGCTCCGAAAATGAACAGCACCCCACGTTACCGGGTGGGGGCGGCGAGCTGGCGACCCCCTCGCGCGAGGGAAAGTAACCCTATCGCGAAGGCAGCCCTCCCGTCCCTGCTGCCCGCGACCTCCTAGTAACCCTCGCGACCTGACCGGACGGGCAGGCGAGGGCCACGCGAAATTCGGGTGCTCCCCTCGGGACGCTCGACAATTTCGCGACCCGTTGCGGTGACGCCACGTGTTCGCACGCGGGTTCGCATCGGGTGCATGCGAAAATTTCGAACCCGGCGAAATTGGAATGCTCGCGTCGCGGCGCACGGTTTTCGCGATCCGCTGGGAAATCGACACGTGTCGGCCGAAACGAGGCACCGAGCGCATGCGAAATTGCGTCCCATCGCCGATCGAAGCCAGGGGACGCGATGTCGACGTGCTGGCACGGCGGCGAAGGAGCACATGTGCCACTTGTGCATGCAGCCCGCCAAACCCTGCCGAGCCAGGCACCACGAGCCCCGGCTGATGCCTCGGCCGGCCTGTGGGGCACCGACCCCCTTTTCTTGGTGGATGGGGGCATCGCTCCTCATTTTCGGCATCTCGTTTCTCTTTCCATTTTTTTTTTCAACTCTGCGCCTTCCTTACTCCCACGTTCTCGTCCCTTAGCCTGTAGTCAATTCCCTTCCCCGCCATGGCGGCCGACCCGAAAGCCAGCGAAGCGGCGCCGACTTCGCAGGACTTCCCTCTGTATCTCGACCTGGGTAGAGGGCTCACTTCCAAGTTCGAGGAGCACGACCACGCCGTCCTCGTAGACCATAGGCTAGATTTCAACGCCCGTTGCTTGGGATTCGGCCTCAAGTGAGTCTCCGTATGGTGATGTCGGCGTCGACCTCTGGTGCCCTTGCTGGTCGACGCATCGTCGGTGTTAGGGTTGTCCACATGTCTAGGGCGGCGCTACGAGGTTAGGGTTTAGTTCACTTCTCGTCGACGTCGACTTTACGATTCCGGCTTACCTAGAACTCCGATTTTACCGGTAGGTCGGTGTCGGCACAGGGTTGCACCTTCTCACCCACTTCTAATACCCATGTCGGCGTGCAGGCACGCATGGACTCGCGCGGCGCAGACCAAGATGCGATTGTGGGCGATAGGACTCGGCCGGCTTCGGGCGGCGATGGGTCAGAACGACCACACATGCTTTGCGACGGTTTTCGACGCCGACGTAGCGGTTATCCCCTTGCATTCGAGGTGAGCTGGTTCGAAGTCGTCACGGTGTGCCATGCATCCTATGTCGGTGCTCTGTTCTGAACGACGTCGTCGTGCCTTGCCTGTGCAGCATCGCACCGCTTCCAGGAGCACAATGCAGCATCGTTGTCATCATTTACCCCGGGGGGAGAAGATCAGGACGTCGATCCGGCACGTGGACCCGCAGACCGTGAAGCAGTGGCACCGCGACGAGGCAATCCGCGTGCTGAAGTGAGCTCGATAGTGTAGTCGACGACGCATGCCATTTCGCCGCGCAGCGTAAACCATGCTTACCGAGTATCTGTGCCATTGTTGCTTCAGGTTTTTCCGGGCGGCGGTACTGGCCGAGCTGGGCCGCGACGGTAGGACGTGGGAGTGGCCGAAGCCTTCCGATAAAGAGGTCGAGGGCAGGCTCGCCGACTGCGATGAACCCCTTCGAGATGTGAGTTCCGAACGATTTACCGTCCTATCTTGTGTCATCCTTGCTCGATGCTCATCCTTGCGCTCTGAACCGTTGAATGCAGAAAGTGCCTGACGTCGTCCAGGACGGGAACGCGGGCTCCGGCTTGCTAGCAATGAGCGTTGTGCTGGGTGGTGAGGAGGATGGATCTCGTGACCGGCGCCCTCCGTCGCAGTGCAACCAGCATGGACAAGGTCAACGTTTCGTGGTTGAAGGGGCTGCGGAGTGCGATGATAACCTTCATCAAGGAGCACGTCGCTTTGAAACGGTCGGGCCATGTCGGAGTTGCTGCCGACGCCTGTGACGACGACGGCGAGGAGCCCCCGTCGGCATCCCAAGCAGTAGGTGTCGCCCACCCCGTCGATGATGCGCGTGGGACTTCGATCGGAGAGCCCGGCGGCGGCGTCGACAAGGCCGATAAGGAGGCAGGAAGGGTAGTGACCGGGACTGCGGAGAAGCACCAGGACGATAACGAGGATCTGGAAGAGGAGGATGATAACGAGGATCAGGAAGAGGAAAACCAGGGTTTTCATGAGGAGGAGGAGGAGGAGGAGGAGGAGGAGGAGGAGGAGGAGGAGGAGGAGGAGGAGGAGGAGGAGGAGAGGGGGGAGGGGGGGGGGGGCGCGGCGGAGGAGGAGCAAGAGGGGGAGCAGGAGGTTAAGGTCGAGTGGGAGGTCATGGAGGTGGAGTACGAGGAGGGAGCGGCGGAAACGGGTGGGAGGTCGGCGGATGCTGTGAACGAGGGAGGGGAGGATGCCGACGAGCAGAAAGTCGGCATGGAGGCGGCTCACGGGGGGGGTGGGAGGTCGGCGGATGCTGTGAACGAGGGAGGGGAGGATGCCGACGAGCAGAAAGTCGGCGTGGAGGCGGCGCACGGGGGGAGTGAGAAGGTCGTGGTCGGCGATGTGGATCCCCACGCGAAGGAAGTTGTCGACCTTGAGTCCGGTGGAGAAGGGGATACCGCCGCGGCCACGAAGCAGACGGGCGTGGAAGGGCCTACCGAGGCCACCGCGGGGAAGGCCGTGGGGGAGCGGTCAAGGAAGAAGAAGGAGGCGCGCGGTCATCCCGGTTCCTCCGCATCTGCTCGGCAGGCACCGCTGGACGCCGTCGAGCAGCTGCGACAAGAGAACAGGCGGCTGACGGCAGAAAATGTCCGTTTGGAGAAGGCGCTCGGAGAGGAGAAGGGTCGGGTGGACAGGTTTGCGTTGGGGGCACGTGCACTGATGGACAAGCTCAAGAAGTTGGCCGACCAGGTCGCCGTCTCCGACCAGAAGGCGGCGAGTCGGCTGCTAGACGCGACCTTGTCCATGTCGACAACCGTCACGGACAACATCACCGCCAACATGGGCGACGCATGGGAGGCGATGAAGCAATACGCCGTAAAGACGTCGAAGTGGTTGGACGAACTCGACGATCCGGAGGGGTTTATGGCAGTGGAACGTGCGAAGGCGGTCAACACCCTGGCCGACCACGTGGAAGCGGTGGTGGACGGTGCGAAGCTGGGTTTGGAGGACTACATCTCGAAGCACCTAGCCGCCGCGCAGACCAACATTGCCGCCGCGGTAACTCGCAACATCGCCGTGCCGCCGCCGCCGCCGCCGCAGCCCACGCCAGCCTTCCCGGACGAGCAGGTGAAGTTGTTCAAGGCGGAAGTGTTGAAGGCGGTGACGGAGGCCACACAGAAGGCGTTTGTTGCGTCCGGGTTAAAGCTCATGACCGAGGTGATCGGCAATGTGGTGCCTGGTCGGCGTGGGTCGTCGCCGTCGGCCAATGACACCGATCCCGCGGCGCGAAGGGAGGCCGACAAGCAGGGCCAGAAAAGGGCGGGCGGCGGAGAGGACGCGGCGAGCGTGAAGCGGAGCAAGGGAGCCGATGGGAGCCGCGGCGTCGGCAAGGTGGGGCCAGGCGGCTCGCGGACTGAAGGTCAGAGCGTGGTCGACCAGCTCAAGAAGAACGGGGCGAAGGTGATAAGGTTGCACAGCAAGGGCGATGGAATCGGGAGTGCAGATGGGGGGCCGACGAGGTTGCCGCTCAAGACGCTGGACAAACAGCCTCGCCCTTGGTCGCCGACAAGGAGATCCCACCCGCTCGGACGGCGAAAGATGGCGGCGCCAGAACCGTCAAGGGACCGTCTGTCGGGGTGGCGGGGACCACGTCGATTCCCCGTAAACCCCCTGCGGCTAGCAGCGCGCCTGTCGGCCCGTCCGCCGCCAACAACGAGGGGCCGGCCCTTGCGGCTACTCGAGCTCCAGCAGGCCCGTCTGCCGCCAAGGGCGACGCGAAGGATGCCACTAAGGAGCCCGCAGCCGCGAACGCGCTCAGGGAAATGCTCCACCGCATGGAGGCCCATCGCCGGGACGTGCAGCAGCCTCCCTTGGTCGACGCCGCCCCCGCCGAAACTGCACGTCCTTCGGTCACTCCGCATGTCGCCGCCACAGCGTCCAGAGCCCCACCTACAGCGCTTCTGCTCGCCGGCCGTCCTCAAGCGGACCCAAAGTCCGCATTGCTTCACACCCGGTTAGGCGCACGTAGTGCGGCAGCGCCAACACGGACTCAGCCGGAAGCCGGCTCAAGAGCGACGCCGACGTCGGTAAACGTGGCTGCACCCACACCCGGTGCAGCTGTTGTCGATGCGGCGGCGGAGAAGGGCGTGAGGGCAGCGCTAGCCACCGGCGGAGCCGTTGCCCCTGCACAGGCGGCGAAAAGCCACAACGACGCCGAAATCGCTGCCATACAGGACCTGTTGGAAGCGGTAAAACGCCCCGCCCCCCCCCCCCCCCCCTGCTCTGGCCATCTCGGACACGGCGCATGTGGAGCCCTCGGCGAGTCCCCCCGGTGGTTCAGCGGAGCCAAAGACGACCACCGAGGCTGTCAGCGAGGGAAAGTCGAAACGAAAGGGGAAGGCCGACACAGGGAAAGGAAGGGCGAGCTCTCAGAGGAAAACACGGGCGACGTCGACGACGATGGAGAAGGCGGAAGGAAATCGAAGGAGAAGTCGGCGGAGAAAGGGAAGGAGAAGGCGGAGGAGAATCAAGAGGAGAAGTCGGTCGGCGAGGGTACGTCGGCGAAGAAAGGGAAGGAGAAGGCGGAGAAGGAGAAGGAGGAGGAGGAGAAGAAGGAGAAGGAGAAGGAGGAGAAGGAGGAGAAAGAGAAGGAGGAGAAGGAGAAAGGACGGAAGGGTCATGGCATCCGCCACGACAGCTCGGGCGACAAGCTTGGGTGGGTGGGCGAGATTAAGGTGCTCGGCGTGAATCGCTACATCGGCAAGTCGCGCGAGAAGATGGAGTTGGCGTACCTGCACTCGATTGCGTACATGGTCTACGACGGTTACGTCAGCAAGATCCTCATGGACGAGCTCACCGACTTGGAGGAAACCGAGATGGAGAAGTGGAGGAATGTGTGGGAGGAGGTCAAGATCCTGCCGACAGGGATGTGGACGGTGATATGGGCATGGGGCGCGTACCTTCCAAAAACACGGTAAGTCAGATACCCTTCGGCCGATTGATGGTGACGATGTCGGAGTCACTAATGGTCGCCTGGTTTCGTGTGATTGCATGATAGGTTCGATGATATTCTCGGCAAGTATCGAGCGTACAAGAGCTCAGGAGATGCTTGGAACCTTGGACGTATGGGTGCCACGGTGTGCGGACGAGCTTCACCGCGAGGTCCTCGGCGACGATGCGGCGGAACATCAGGAGGGTACGCCAGAAGTGCACGGCGGCTTTGTCGGCGTCGCTCCCCTTGACAGCACGAGCTTCCGCCTGCACGTGGACAATTGATGTGGGTTAGTAGGGTGTTGGGCAGCCAACGAAGCCATGGCGACGTCGCTTAACATACATCGCGCAGCAGAGCATCCACGCCGGGGAAGATGTGCTCGGCGATGACGTCCAAGAGTTTGGCAGAGGGCTCGACCCTGTTGCGACCCAAGAAGTAGTCCTGTTTGAAACCCGAGTAGCCGGCCTTCCTCATCACCACCCCAACGGGAATGGCTGTGATGTAAGCACGCGTCATCTTGTCGAGAGCCCAGTGTCCCAGCTCGGCGATCTCGGCGCGAGGCGTCCCGTCGATGGCTAGCTCCTGCGCACCTCCGGCGCGTGCGGCGTGCACGTTCCGCTTGCATAACACCTTGTTTGTCGTCCACATCTGCCGCGTCCAACGTTGGTGGCTGGCGGCGGGGAGCTCGTCTTGCTCCTTGTCGTTGCGGGCGAAGGAGAGGTGCTTCTTGTACCAGCATTCGCGTTCGGTGGTGACAAGCGGCGGAAGGAAGTCGACGCCGGAGAACTGACCGATCTGGTCGAGGATGAAGTGCAACCACAGGCCGGTCTCGCCGACGGCGCACAACTCAGCTTCCAGGTGTCGCGCCGCGTAGCTCTGCTGAAGACGGGCATCCTTGGAAGTCTTCGAGTTACGCGCGGCGACCACCATGACGACCGGCTGGTTCTCCGGGTTCACCGACGAGGTGCTCGCCAGTTGGTACAGGAAGATGTCGGGGAGCGTGATCTCGCGGATGCTGGCGCCGCGCAGGAGAGAGTGGTGGGAGAGTAGCGTGAGCACCTTGACGAGCAGGAATCTCCACATCGTTTGCGAAGGAGTGGTTGCCCGCGGGTTCCACGCCGCCGCCGCCCATGTCGGCAGCACCTTCATCATGATCTGGCGGAACTGTTCGGCGGTGTAGGTGTCGCCGATGGTGCCGCGTCGATGGTCGGCGCAATTCCTGCACACAAAGCCACAGTGTATTGTTAGTTGGTGAGGCGTCTACTACGGCGTCTCGAGTACTGAGGTTGGCGGTGTCGACCAACTTACTTGAGGTCCCTCTCGTTCTTGGTGCGGACGTTGAACCGCACCTCCGACCTGACCACCGAGATCTCCCGCATGATGCCCAGCTCCTTCTCCTTGTACAGCGTCGCCTCCACCCTCGCCGCCATCTGGCATGCCTTTAGGCGCCCGAGGAGCGTGTGCACCGTTGTCGCTTGCACAGGCGCGGTGTGCGTGGCATTGGTCCCCTCCTCGATCGGCTCGGAAAGGAGGTTACACTCACGACTCATGTACTTCACGTAGGCGCGCAGCTGGGTTTCGGTGACCCTAGGGCGGTGCAGCCAGATGTACTTCCGGGGGACCTCGACCTCGTTGTCCCAATCCTTCTTCTTGTTGGCGCGTATGTAGTGGCCGATCTCGTCGACGTGCCTAAGTCGGTGCTCCTGGGGAAGCCTGTCGCGTATTTGCTTCAGCATCTTCGCCGCCCACCTCTTGTAGTGGTAGATCCACGAGGTGTACAGCCTTAGCGCGCTCTTTTTCTCCAAGGTTTGTAGGTGGCGTAAGGCATCCATGACGAGCACGTCGACGCACGCGTAAATCATGTCGTCCACTACGAAGTCTGCCGCCCTCCACTGTTCGCGTGGCACCGCCATGTTCTGTTCGTCCTCCTTCTCGTCCTGTTTGAGCATGTCATCTATGTATTCAAACTCCCGCCTGAGACGTTCTTCCAAGGTGCGCGGATTCGTGCTACGCGGCGGACGCTCGTCGTATTCGTCGTCGCTCTCTTCCTCTTCGTCGTCATCACCCTGGTTTTCACCGTAGGGCGGCACCGACGACGGTCCAGGCTGTCCATCTTGCGTCGGGGTCGACTTACTAGCTTTGCTTGCAAACTCCCCTATCGGCGGTGGGGGAATGTCCTTGGTGAACTCCCCTTCTGGAATCTGAGTCAGTGCGTCAAGATCGTATAGCAACTTCAGCGTCTCTTCGGGGGTAGAGGTCGGATTGTTGCCGGTTGGGGGACCAACGTCGGACATGTCGACGCCGGCCATGTGGCCGCCCGTTGGTTGCTCTACCGTGGTCCCTGTGCGAGGTAAAGGTTGGACCACCATAGACGGTACTGAGTCACTAGAGCTATGTACGCCGTGCGGGTCGCGCGGGCGTCTAGCTCGAATTCCCTCTCAAGTGCTTCTAACTCAGCGGCGATCTCTGCACGTTCCAGTACCGATTTGATGTCGGCGTCTACAGTGTCGGCGGGGGGTGGGATGGGTTGCGACTTTTGGGCACTAGGCCGTCCTCTGGCCATGCGTCGTCGACTTAGTAAGGTGGTGTTGGGCCGTCTTGGTCGGTCGGTAGATCTATTCGAACCCTACATCGATGTCGACGATCGGTCGTCGAGGTCAACAACGACCTGGTTCGTCTCTGCCGGGTCGACGCGATCTGTGCCGACGAGACCGTGATGTCGGCGCTCGAGTAACCTAGACACGTGAAGATAGTGAGGGTGGGGAGAATTCTAAGTGCCAGAGAGCGCAACGCAATACGAGGGAAGGAACACACACAGACAGGCGGAATGAGGACCTTGCGCATGGTCAATGAGGGGTATGGTTGCACGCGACCTCTTAGAGGGCCGCGCTCCACGCAGCTCCCTTTGCGTGCGCCGCTATGCATGTGTCTGACGTGCCAACGTCAGTGCATGTCTAGTGTCACGCCGCTCTACACTCAAAGAGCCCCCCACCGGGGCCATTCCACTGTGGATTGCACGTGTGCCACGTGGTCTACACCAATCAGTTGTTCAACTCTCGAAGCGGCCGGCTTTCCCGCGCAACCGTTATCGACATGTGCAGTCCCGCGTGTCATCCCGTTGGTCGACGCCGACATTCCCAGGGTGTTGGATTCGCCTCACCTAGCCATCTAAGGGACCGATCGGATTACGCCGCGTGGATCGTGAAGGTGCGGTTGGATCTGTGGGCGACACCGACATTCCTACACGCGGCGGGAAATTGCTTCCCGCGATCTCTGGCTCCCTAGGTGCTCGACACATGTACATGCACTAGCTAGTCGTTATTCGCCGCGTGGACTTCGCCGATTTTTTTTTTATCGGCGGGAAGTGTTCCCGCGCAAAAAATGTTGACCCGTGGTGCGACGCGTGGCCACGTCGTGGCTGTCGTGGCACCCCGCGATTAAAAGGGACGATCGCGATCGTCCCTGCTAGGCCGCGTGGCACAAATCGCGACTCGACGTGTCGAGCTGCGATTTTTTGTCCGCTGAGATATCCTTCTCGGGTTTCTCTCAGCGAAACCAGAGGTCGTCAGATTGTCGACAATCCCGAGGCCTCCTTTGGCCCGGAGGGCTGCCAGCTCGCCCCAGTTTGCCTTCCGGAGGTCGTCGGGGGTTCGTCACTCCCGAGGGGGTCCGCTGTCCTATCGCAACCGCGAAATTGGGCGGCGTTTTTCGTCCGCTGAGGTATACTTTCCCTTGCTGATCGTGCCACGTCACACATACGTGTCCAATATGAGTCTTCACATCCTGAAAGCTAGCGTTTAATACTGGTACTTTTACTTGTACGTGTGCGGACTCCGAGTAGGAGTTGAAGAATTCCTCGTTGCTTTTCACTCGAGATGCTCACATACTAAAACGTTGCGGCCGATTTCGCGCGCATGACTCGTGCATGTGCTGGCCATCGGGTTTTGAAGGACATCGCAAGTCGCGGGCTGACATAACGTACAACCTACTAAGGGCAGGTTCAGAGTTCATCAGTCGTGGCGCAAGACGATTCCAGACGGTGCACAGCGGTTATTACCCTTCACCGTTTTGCACCGTTATGCAACAGGAGTAACCGCACAGAACGAACGCGCTGATGGAAGTTCACAATCCGAAAACGAAATGGGAGAAAGTGTTACCATGCGCATATCTTCCCATGTTCTGAAGCTGCCCGCGAAGGTGTTGCCATGATGTGGACGGCACGCCGGAAAAAATAAATCCTCTTGAAAACTACCCAACCGTCTAGAAAAGATTACAAACTGTTCTGCAACGCAACATATTTTACCAAACCGCTGTCAAGTGACCTCGTATGCCAGCCTCACCGAGATTTTATGCACATCCTTCGTTTCCATTATTTCGTTTCCCCACCCATTTGGTTTCATTTTGTTACGTCCACGATGGAATGCCTCCTCCCCACAACCCCACTCACCTCACCACATGAATCACATCATGAGCCCATTCTTGTTTGATTGCTAGGGTTAGCAGTTGTGATTCTATTGCCGCGCTCCCTCAGGAGCCATTGATTAGTTGCTGACGAGATTTGAAGCCCAATGTAACAGGCTTTTACGTGAAATCATCGTACTAATTCGCGCTAGGGAGCCGAGTGAATCAGACGCGGCGTAGCTTCGTTCGCCATGGCTCCTCCACCCCCCGGGAAAGATTTGGCTGACTACACTGCGAATGCGGGGAATGGCGGTCGCGCGGCCCAGCGGCGAGAGCAGCGGAACGAAAACGGGCCCATGGCCGTGATGGCGCCTGACGTCTACACGGTATCATATATGAGAGCGCTAATTCGTACTCGGAACAGCGTAGTTCGATACGACTCCAGGTTGCGCCCAACAGCGCTGTGCAGTACGAGTGTTATATCGCCTGTTTCTGGAAGTGTCGCCCATTCTTGTCTCCTTTCATGCCATCCTCCCTCCGTCTTTTCCCCGTTTTTCGCCCTTCAATGTGAACCGCATTCACCATGCAGGCTGCCTTCATCCTCATTGTAGTCCTCCTCAACCTGTACAGAGTAAGCCCCTCTTCGCTTCTCAATTTCTCATCGAGCCAGGATCGATGTCTCTTCGCTTGCGGCCATCTCTGCACCTTTAGACGTTCCCGTGTTTTCCCAGTTTCCGAAGCAAAGCGTTGCATAATATCCCGTCGCTGTCAATCTTCGTGTGTTTTCAGGCCTCTCTGTGTTGCTGCCGTTGCTGAACGCACCGTAATATACGAATACCTTGAGCTGCCAAGGATATGGTACGTGCCCGTTGTGTTGTGAAGCATGGATGCTCCATGTAACTATTGTTCATCCGCAATCTGGGTGTGCATCTTCTAATGTTACCGTATGTCACCTGTAGGAGACCAGCTTGGCTTACCGTACTGTTTTTTAGTAACCCTGATTTGTTGTTTGTTTCTTTTGATGGGAGCAGGTTATGTGCACAAGCCAATTTGTGCACATCTTGGTGTGTCTAGTCTAGAGTGACTTTTGTTTCCCTATTCCCCTGCTATGTGGCAATATATCATTATTAACTTTCTGTATAAATGCAAGAAATGGCTGTGGTAGCCTCAAGACTAGAGGAGTTTATTCAAGCACCAGAAGAAAGAGGTCCTCATATTTCCACAGCAGTGAAAGTGACATACAATATTCGTGGATAAGGAGGCGTTCCCACGTTTGGACGACAAGTGAGTTTGCCCACGCGGCCCAAAAATTTCTAAATGTTGTATAATACCAGGGTTTAGGGTTTAGGGTTTAGGGTCTGGACACCATTGTGCAAACAATCTGGGTCGTAAGATCCGTCATGGTTACCCAATCGAACGTCGGGCGACCAAAACCGCAAACCACGGTGTGAAGCGCACTCGAAGGGCAGGGGAACGAATCACTTTTGGGGCGAAAGCGTTTGGAAAATCGAGAAGAAACTCTTTCCACGTGCAGAAACCAAAGTCAACTCTACGCTCGAACAAACAGAACTACTTGCGAAAATACACCTGAGATTTCAGAACGGTACTCGCTAAGGTTGGCGAAATATTATTTTGTACTGTGATTGGAGGTGAGATCGTTGTCGAATTTGCGACTTTCGGGCATAAAACACTGCGGTGTCCAAAGTAGGGCAGGACCCCACCATGGTCGCCAACTTCAACATTTACGAGCCGCGTGGGCAAACGTTCTTGTCGTCCAAACTGTGGGAACGCCATCATGTTCCACTTTGCATATGGCTGGCATGCCACATGACAAATTCCACCCCACACTGCCATTTTTGCACCATTCCTCCATTTCTGCATTTCGTTTCACAGCTCTCTTGTCCCTGCCATGGCCCGCCCCCGCCGGATTGCTTTATCTCAGCCATCCGCATTTCTCCTTTTCCTATTCGCGGCAGCGCTTTCTGCCTGCGCCGATGCGCGCATTCACATCCCGCGCTTCCCGGCTTCGTTCCATAGGCAGCAGAAAAGCCGGGCGGCGAACGCACACATCGAGAATATTGATGATAACAAGAACAATTTTGCCACGTCACGTGGTTCTGCTCGCGGAGGTTACGCCTGGAACGCCTCTTATTTCACCCAGAATCTCGACCATTTCTCGTTCACCCAATCTAGCTACGCCACGTGGCAGCAGAAGTACATCTGGTGGGACGGCGCGTGGGGCGGCGCGGAACGCGGCGCGCCGATCTTCGTGTACTGCGGCAACGAGGGGCCGATCCAATGGTTCATGGACAACGCGGGGTGGATCCGCGAGATCGCCGTCGAATTCGGCGCGCTTGTCGTGGGACCCGAGGTGAGCCGTGCAGTGCTGTACAGTCCACATCCAGGCATGGGCAAGCAACGAGGGGCCGATCCAGTGGTTCATGGACAACGCTGGATGGATCCGCGAGATTGCTTCTGACTTCGGCGCGCTTGTTGTGGGGCCTGAGGTAAGCGGTGCAGTGCGGTAGTAGTCGACATATAGATTCCGGCAACGAGGGGCCCATCCAACGGTTCATGGACAACGCGGGGTGGATCCGCGAGATCGCCGTGGAATTCGGCGCGCTTGTCGTGGGGCCCGAGGTGAGGCGTGCAATGTGATGGTAGTAGCCGGCATCTAGGCTCCAGTAGCGCGCGACCATCGCCAACTAGATTCCAGTATCGAAGCACTGATCCAATGCTTCATGGACAACCTGGTTGGATCCGCGAAACTGCTTCCGGATTTCGGCACGCTTGTCCTGGGAACTGCGGTAAGGGCGTGGTGGACTACGCCCTAAGCCGTGCAGCTTTATAGTCGTCACCATCTAGATTCCAGTAGCACAAGACACTCGCCATATGGATTCCAGTTCCGCGCGACGCGTTCTTATTCTCTTCTCAAGTCGCTTTTAGGTCGACCCAAAAGCTGCCTCGTGAATCGCGCTATTGTATAGTACAGACTCTCGGTACTACACAGCACAGTTTCTCAACAGGACATCCCTCCTTCCCTCCTCCCTCTCCCCACTCCACCTCCCCCCAACCCCACCCATCCCCCCTCTCCCCTCTCCCCCTTTCCCTTCCCCCCGTTACAATCATTCTCAGCACCGGTACTATGGCGAATCTATGCCATTCGGCACGGAAAAGGACTCCTTCAGCAATGCATCAATACGGGCGTTCCCCTCCCCCCTCCCAACCCCCCTCCCAACCCCCCTCCCTTCCCCCCGTTACAATCACATCCAGCACCGGTACTACGGCGAGTCGATGCCATTCGGCACGGAGAAGGAGTCCTTGAGCAACATGCCTAAATCCACACGGGCGTTCCTCACAACATAGCAGGCCATGGCGGAACGGCACGGAAAATGAATCCTTCAGCAACGCGTTGACTCTCCCCTTCCTCACCACAGAGCAGGCCATGGCGGACATGGGGACTGTTGTTGAGGCACCTGAAAAAAACACCCTTCCTTCCCCCCTCCCTCTCCCCCCGCACCTCCCCTTGGCCCCCCCACCCTTCCCCCCCTTCCCACCCTCCCTTCCCCCCCACCCTTCCCCCGTTATTATCACATCCAGCACCTGTACTATGGGGAGTCGATGCCATTCAGCTCGGAAAAAGAATCCTTCAGCAACGCGTCAACACGCGCGTTCCTCACCACAGAGCAGGCCATGGCGGACATGGCAGTGTTCCTCACGGCGCTCAAGGACAACCTATCCGCACATGACTCGCCCATCATCCTGTTCGGTGGTTCCTATGGCGGCAGTAAGTACTGCTGCTCTTTCTTGTTCCCTCTGTAAGTCCCCCCTGAGCTGTGCCTGGAGTCCTCACCACAGAGCAGGCCATGGCGGACATGGCGGTGTTTCTCACGGCGCTCAAGGGGAACCTGTCTGCACATGATTCTCTGGTCATCCTCTTTGGAGGCTCATACGGCGGCAGTAAGTACTGCTGTTCTTTCTTGTTCCCACTGTAAGTCCCCCCTGGGCTCTGCCTGGAGTCCTCACCACGGAACAGGCCATGGCGGACATGGCGGTGTTTCTCACAGCCCTCAAGGGCAACCTATCCGCGCATGACTCGCCGGTCATCCTATTCGGAGGCTCGTATGGCGGCAGCTGCTGCCCTTTCTCTGTTGTAGCTTCGCTTGCCCTCGGTAAGTCCCCCCTGGGCTGGGCCTAGGGTCCTCACCACGGAACAGAGCAGGCCATGGCGGACATGGCGGTGCTGCTCACAGCGAGGCCCCTCCTGTCAGTCCCCCCTGGGCTGGGCCTAGGGTCCTCACCACGGAACAGGCCATGGCGGACATGGCGGTGTTTCTCACGGCGCTCAAGGGGAACCTGTCCGCGCATGACTCGCCGGTCATCCTATTCGGAGGCTCCTATGGCGGCAGTAAGTGCCTGCTTCTCTGCTCTCCCTCAGTAACCAGCTGCTGAATTCCAAGCCAAGATGGCAGCTTGTCTTTGGTCATTATCAGCACACACGTATGATTGATTAGCATCTACCACCTCTCGGGCCCTCACAGGTTAAGCAGGCCTTGGCGGACAAGGCAGCTACTGGAGCTGCTCTCACAGCTCAAGTGGTGGAGTGCTAGCAGCATGATTCGGACCTAAGCACCCTCGTTTCCTTTGTTTCTGCTCTTTTTTCCCCCGTTTGTTTGCTTGTTACTTTCCGCAGTGCTGGCAGCATGGTTCCGCCTAAAGTACCCGCACATAGCAGCAGGCGCCATTGCAGCATCTTGTGATGAGCCGAGCCTACCGAGTCACCTCAAAGTCATTCAAGTCCCAATGTTTTTCCTCCCCTTCCCTCGTCTTGCTTCCCCCAGTGCTGGCAGCATGGTTTCGCCTAAAGTACCCGCACATAGCAGCAGGCGCCATTGCAGCATCGGCGCCCATCCTGCAATACGAGGACATTATGCCCAGCCGGTACCTTCTACTACCCCATAGTGTCACACGACTTCAAGGTGGGTAATCCATGTGACTATAACGGGGCCATGGTAGCTTGCTGCTGCCTCAGCACCCATCCTGCAATACGAGGACATTATGCCCAGCCGGTACCTTAAACTATTGCATAGTATCGCATGATACAAAGGTGGGGTGGGTGTTGGGAGAAACGCCGTGTGCTTCCATGCCATGCCATGCCACTCCATCCCATGCCATGCCATCCCACCCCACCCCATGCAATCCCGCGCCATGCCATGCCATCCCATGCCATCCTGTCCCATTCCATGCAGATAGAGAGCGAGAGCTGTTTCAATGCCATCAGGGAGAAGGCTGCAAGTGAGGGAGGGCTTGCACGCCTCTCATGCCATGCTGTGCCATGCCATGCCAAGCCATGCTGTGCCATGCCATGCCAAGCCATGCTGTGCCATGCCATGCCACCCCATGCTGTGCCATGCCATGCCACCCCATGCCACGCAGATAGAGAGCGAGAGCTGTTTCAATGCCATCAATAGCAGCTGGGCGGCAATCAGGGAGGAGGCTGCAACCGAGGGAGGGCTCACCCGCCTGTCAGAGCAGTTCCGCCTGTGCAGGTGAGACCTGTGTGAGTGAGTGAGTGATTCTCAGAGGGCTGTACACATGGCACACGGCAGCAGCTGAGGGAGGGCTCACCCGCCTGTCAGAGCACTTCCGCCTGTGCAGGTGAGTCGTGTGAGGGGTGTTTGTGTGGCGTGTGTCTGATGTGATGCATGGCCTGCCCTCAGAGGAGGCTGCAACCGAGGGAGGGCTCACCCGCCTGTCAGAGCACTTCCGCCTGTGCAGGTGAGTCGTGTGAGGGGTGTTTGTGTGGCGTGTGTCTGATGTGATGCATGGCCTGCCCTCAGAGGAGGCTGCAACCGAGGGAGGGCTCACCCGCCTGTCAGAGCACTTCCGCCTGTGCAGGTGAGGCGACAGAGAAACACCCTAGATGATGTCTAGTCTACCTAAGTGCCTGCCACAGCTGGGGGGCGATCAGGGAGCAGGCAGCAACTGGGGGAGGGTTTACCTGACTCCTCCGCTTCCCCCATCTACCCTTCCGCCCAGTTCCCTCTCCGATGCAGACAACCCCTTACTGAGTGGTTGGAACTGCCTATATTTACGTAACGATGGTGGACTATCCCGTGCCCTCTGACTTGCTCTTGCCGCTGCCCTATTCCCTTCCTCCCATCTTCCCATCCCCGCATCTGCATGGCCGTGGTGGAAGGCCGTGTGCCCTCTGACTCGACTTCTCCTCCTTCCCACTCCCAACCTTTCCCCCAGTCCCCTGACTGATGCAGAGGACTTGATTCAGTGGCTCGAAACAACTTATGTTTACATAACGATGGTGGACTATCCCGTGTGTCTGTGCCCTCTGACTCCTCTCCTTCTCCCCTCTTCCCTTTCCCCCAGTCCCTTGACTAACGCAGAGGACTTGATTCAGTGGCTGGAAACCGCATACATATATATGGCCATGGTGGATTACCCCGTGCCTTCTCACTCCTGTGCACCCCAATCCCCCCTGCGCACTCTCCTCGCCCCTCCCCTCCTCTCCTCCCAGTCCATTGTCTGATGCAGACGACTTGATTCAGTGGCTGGAGACGGCATACATATACATGGCCATGGTGGACTACCCCGTGCCCTCTCATCAGATTCCTCCTCTTCCCCTCCCCGCTCCCACGCTTCCCTAGTCTTGTAGATGAATGGTTAGAAACGGCATACATATACATGGCCATGGTGGACTACCCCGTGCCATCTGATCAGAGTCCTCCTGTTCCCCTTCCCCCCCCCCCCCCCCCCCCCCTCCCATCCTCCTCCCAGTCCTTTGACTGATGCAGATGATTTTAATCGAGTGGCTGGAGACAGCATGCATCTACATGGCCATGGAGGACTACCCCGTGCCCTCTGACTTCCCTTCTCTCTCCTCGTTGTTCTCTCTTTTTGCCTTGTCCGTCAGTCCCCTGACTGATGCAGACGACTTGATTCAGTGGCTGGAAACAGCCTACATATACATGGCAATGGTGGACTACCCCGTGCCATCTGACTTTCTCATGCCGCTGCTCGCGCATCCCATTCGAGAGGTACCCCTATGTCGTTACTGGGGATTATTTTCAACCATAGATTGCCTTGCAAGGTGTGACCTGCTCGATCGCATCGCTGCCGGAGTGGGCGTGTATTACAACTACTCGGGCTCTCACTGCAACACACCTCCCATGACCCTTTTTCTCCCCTCCCTACTTCCATTCCATGCTCAATGTGATCAGCTGTGTCGCCGTGTCTACTCCCTTCCCCCAGGAGCTGATCTTCTCGATCGCATCTCTGCCAGGGTGGGCGTGTATTACAACTACTCGGGCTCGGAGGCGTGTGTCAACATCCCGTTTTTTCACTCCCTATCCCTGTGCCCAATGCACTCAGCTCTGTTGGCGCGTCGACAGCCTGCCTGCAAGCGCCAGCCTCCTTGATCGCATCTATGCTGGAGTGGGCGTGTATTACAACTACTCGGGCTCGGAGACCTGCTTCAGCGTGCGCGATACCGACCCGCATGACATGTCCAATGGTTGGGACTTCCAGGTGAGGCTAAATGGATGGGACTCCCCCCAAGTGTTGCCAGTTTCTGCACCATGTGTGGGCCAGGGTGGGCGTGTATTACAACCACTCTGGCTCGGGGACCTGATTCAGCGTTGGCGATACTGATCCGCATGACATGTCCAATGGGTGGGACTTCCAGGTGAGGCGAATGGTTGACACTTGCAGGTATGGCGAATGGTTGACACTTGCAGGTATGGCGAATGGTTGACACTTGCAGGTATGGCGAATGGTTGACACTTGCAGGTATGGCAGCCTGCCTAGTGCCAGCCCCCTGCACCATGTGTGGGCCAGGGTGCGCGTGTATTATAACTACTCGGGCTCGGAAGTGTGCTTCAGCGTGCGCGATACCGACCCGCATGACATGTCCAACGGGTGGGACTTCCAGGTATGACAGCCTCCCTAGTACCAGCCCTCTGCAGCGTGTGCGTGCTGGGACGGGTGTGTATTATAACTACTCGGGCTCTGAGGCGTCCTATATTGTCCACGATAACGACCCCCCTGGCATAACACGCATTCTTATTGGGGCACACTTGTCCACCAAGTGACACAAAGTCGCAAGTGCTTGAGAGCCTTTTTGCTTGTCTGTCCATTTTTTTTTTTTTTTTTTTTTTTTTTCCTCATCCCCTCTCCCCCTCCCTTTTACCACCCTAGGCATGCACGGAGCATGTGATGCCCATGAGCAGCAACGCCAGCATTAGTCTCTCCTCTCTTCCCTGCCACTCTTGCCTTGCCCCTCTTGTCTCTCGTCTCCCCCCCATTCAACACACCAGGCATGCACCGAGCACGTCATGCCCATGAGCAGCAACGCCAGCAACAGCCTGTTTGAACCCTTCGAGTGGAACCAGACGGCCTTTGAGGAGAACTGCTTGCAGCAGTACGGCATTGCTCCTAGACCCACCTGGGCCATGACCCAATTCGGCGGACGGGTGAGTGGCTGCACCACACCGCACCGCACAGCACGACACCTCACCATGTCGCACCACTTCCTTGATCCCTGGAATGTCATAGGTCCCCTAAATCCGAAACCCTGAAGCCCCTCCTTCCTCCCCTCATGCCCAACTGCTCCCCCTATCTCCCCCGTTCACAGTCCATCCGTTCAGCCCTGCGCCACTTCGGCAGCAACATTGTGTTTTCCCAGGGGGCGCTTGACCCCTGGAGTGGAGGCGGGTGAGTTGCCTTCTCTCCATCACTCCTTTCCTCCCTCTTTTGAGGCGCCTCAAATCCAAACATTGTGTTCTCCCAGGGGCCCCTTGACCCCTGGAGTGGAGGCGGGTGAGTTGCCTTCTCCATTGCTCCTTTCCTCCCTCATTTTCCTATCTTTCTGCAGATGCCTGTGTGTCAGCTCAAATGCAGTGTAATAATGTGCTTCCAGCATCCAGTGAAGGTCAGGGACCGATCGCTCGTATGGGAGAGAGTTCTAATGAGGGCAACCTGCATTTGCTGGTTCATTCTATAAAACCCAAGCCTTAAACCATCACCACAACTCTCTGCATACGAGCAATCGGTCCCTGACCTTTGCTGGATGCTGGAAGCACATTATTCCACTGCATTTGAGCCGACATTGAGTCGGTTGCAGAGCGACAATGCTTGTTGCACAGGGCTCGTTCTTCTGCATGTTGGTTCTCTTGTAAATGCAAAAAAGCTGGAACATATTGTGCGTCAATAGCATGCATCAAAGTACATAAAATCACACTAAATGCACTATACAACCACACCACTTACAAGAGTAATGAAGTCTCAAATTCCCTCTTTCATTTGTCTTTCCCTCTCTTGCTCTTGCCCTGCTTGCTTTTCATGTTTCAGTCCTTGAATGACAAATTCCAAACCCTACAATCTCCCTTTCTCCCATCTAACACTGGCCCTCCTCATATCCTCCTGATCCCTTCCCGACCTCCCTATTGCTACCTTCCTCTCTCTTCTCCTCCTCTCTCTCCTGCCCCCTTGCCTCTCCCCTCCCCTTTCTGCCCATTTCCACCAATCAGAGTGCTCGAGGACATTTCAGACACCCTAGTCAGCCTCACCATTCCTGACGGTGGGTTTCTTGTGACCTGGTTGAAAAGCAATTTTGATGTTTGAGACTTTTCAATAGTCACCCTAGTCAGCCTCACCATTCCTGACGGTGGGTTTCTTGTGACCCAGGTAAAAAAACCTGGAGCCTCACCATTCCGGTGTTTTTTCTGTTCCGTTCTTGCAAAGCCACGATGGCCCTCTTTTTGTTACTCTGGTTCTCATTTTCTCTGGAGCCTGATATTTGGTCCTTATTTAGTAGACTCATCACCACCTTGACCTACATGTGTCTGTGCATACATGATTTTCCTCTCTGCACCTCCTCCCCTCCCCCAGGCGGCCACCGCCTAAGGGCGTCCACCCCAGATGGTGGAGGAGATGAGAGAGCAGTAAGTGATCAAACATAGAGCGTTTTCTTACATCTCCCCTCCCCACTCCTAGCCAACCTGCCTTGTTTCAGGTGCCACCACCTGGACCTAAGGGCGTCCACCCCAGACGACCCCCCTTCGGTGCGGAAGCAGAGGAAGGAGGAGAGGAAGCACATCAAGAAGTGGATCAAGCAGTGGCACAAGGATAGGAGGGAGGCGAAGAAGCATGGGAGAAATGGCCTTCGTTTCAGGTAAGGTTTTCCTTCCATCTAGCAGTTTCTCATCCTCGGTTTCTGTCTCTCACTCATCCTCCTTTTCCTTCTCTCTCATCCTCCTTTCCCTTCTCTCTCTCATCCTCCTTTTCCTTCTCTCGCTCATCCTCCTTTTCCTTCTCTTCCATCCCACTCTCCCTTCCCTCTTGCAGCTTGCCCTCTTCCTATGAAGACGTCTCTTCCACCTCCCTTCCTCTCCTCTCCTCTCACTACATCCTTCTTTCCCATTAATGACTTCTCTGACTCTCTTCCATCCCACTCCCCCCTCCCTCTTGCAGCTTGCTCTCTTCCTATGAAGACGTCTCCACGACCTCCCTCGCTCTCTTCATCCTCTCTCTCGCCCTCCTCGCCACATCCGTCGCTGTATCCCTCTCTGCCACTCGCCGGGCACGACCCACTGGCACCACCTACTCACCCGCATTGCGCCATCCGCTCATGGGGGGGAGGCAGTAAGGAAGTGAGGCATTGCCCATGCCACTCTCCCGCCTCTCTCGCCTGCACCCTCGTTGCTACTCTGTCTCCCTCTCCACCACACGCCCGGCACACCCCATTGGCACCACCTACTCACCCGCATTGCGCCATCCGCTCATGGGGGGAAGGCAGTGAGGCAGGAGGCAGCGACTAGGTATGCCTCCCTCTCCCTCTCTCGCCCGTCTTCATAAACCGTGATTGATCTATTGGGCAAGCCCGTCGGCTCCAGCTGCTCACCGGCATTTCGCCATGCGCTAATGGGTGGGAGGTTGTGAGGCAGTGTGGTAGGGAGGCAGGGTGGCAGGCAGAGCGGATGGCAGGGTGGCAGGGTGGCAGGGTGGCAGGGTGGCAGGCAGAGCGGATGGCTGGGTGGCAGGGTGGCAGGCAGAGAGGATGGCAGGGTGGCAGGTGGCAGGGAGGCAGGGTGGCAGGGTGGGTGGCAGGGTGGGTGGCAGGGAGGCAGCGAAGAATTAATTATGCCGCCCCCACCCCCTTCTTTCCTCCGGGCACGCCGCATCACTGCCATCCTCTACACTGCGCAACGTTTTTTATTATAGCGTATGCTAGCATGCCAGGCAGACCAGCACAGGAGCCTGAGCACGATAAGTTGATAACTGTGCTCGTGTCTGCAGCTTTTGAATTAGCTCTTAGGATGGTAAGGTACCTCTTGAAGAACCTGCGCGGAAGTTCTGTGGAATGGGAACCACTGGATTTTTTAGGCGATGAAGAAATGGATGAACACAATTGCTTCATGACTGCATTTGTTTGCTTCTCTGACCTCATTGTTTGAGTCGAACCTACATTATTGTCTTGAACCTGCACAGGACTGAAATTGACAGCCAATGCTGCAAAAGCCAGGTTCATACCAGTTGATACTATTGACAGCTAACATTAACAGGTGGTAGTGACACCTAGCCAAGGAATAAGGTGTGTAATACCGTATGAGTAGGAAACTTCCCCCCTACAATACTGGGATGGGACAGTGGTCACGAATACAAGAAGATATTGTCTGCAAATATTTGTAAACATCTAACCCTAGAAAGTCCGATTGCACCACGCCTTATTCCGCTGTTGGCCACGGCATTTGCAGTTTCTACTCCAATTGTCGGGTCGCGTTTTACGTCCCGTTCAACGGTCAACCACTTCGATACTGTCATAAGGCGCAGCGTGACGCTGGTGGCCCGTATCGCAGTAGCTTAGGAGGCGAATGCGCTTGGCTTCGGCGTTGCATGCACTGACGACCGCCACGTCCCGCAACTGGCGTAGATCGTAATGGCTAAGACTAAGTACTACGCGGTTCGGAAGGGACACCAGCCAGGGATTTATCTGACGTGGCCGGAATGTCAACGACAGGTAAGCAGCTGTAGTTAGGTACTTCATTACGTGGCGTTTCGGTTTGCTAGGTATTTTATCTTTGCTGTCTCGTGCGGTTCAGTTCGGTTCCTCATGCTATAGCACGGTTCCCTCGCATTGCTGCCCAAGAACGCAACACACACCGAACACAACCGTGTTAGATTACTCGAAACCGAACGTCCTTTTCTCACCCCCAGGCCACCTCTCACCCCCCAAGCCCACGCGACAACAATGGCGGTTCTCCTACTCCTTATTTTGAGAATTCTCAAAAAACGGATTCAGCGGCATATACACACACTGTCCAGTCCAGTCCACCATATCGAATACACAATGTCCTCGTTGTAATCTCTCCCAGGTGAATAATTTCAGAGGCAACCAGTACAAGAGTTTCGATACGCTGGATGAAGCCAGGTCCTACCTCGCCTTGGCTGATGTCTCTTCGCCCTTCACGCAACCCGCGGAGGCTCCAAGTCACGCCTTTATGCCTGCTGCTGCTACTACTGCTGACCCGTATACCAGTGCTGCTTCAAATTACGCCTTTACGCCTTCTGCTGCTGCTCCCGCTACTGCTGCTATTACTCTTTTTGCTGTCGCAACAGGGGTATACGCTGATGCTGGTGAGTGCTCAACTGCCTAGTTGTTTGTTACTACCAGTAACTCCTATCTCTTTTGAGAGGTGCAACATGATTTGATTTGCTGCGGCTGGTGCCAGCCTTCCCATTCCTGCCGCCCAGCGGACCTGGCTTAGTAACCGTCTTCAGTTCGATTCTACAAACTGCTTCACGGTTTCAGTACCTTCAAGTTTCCTCTGGCATACATATACACCACACAGCCCTTCCCCCCCATCCCTACTACTCACTTCCACTCACTACCTTCCTCTCCCTCTCCCACTCACTCGAGCGCTTTCGTTTCTCTCCTTTCCTTTCTTCCTCACTCCCTCTCCACCCCCCACCCTAAGAAGGTTTCTGAAAAGACCCTCCCACTTTTCCTTACCCTCCCACCTTTCCGTTCCCCCTCCCTTTCTACCCCACCCCACCATAGGAGGAGGATATGCAGAGAGCCAGGGAGGAAGCGGGTGGTCTGCTGCAGGAGGGAGGGATGGGAGGGAGGGAGCGGGTGTGGGGAGGCAGGGGGGAGTGAGAGTAGTGGGAAGGCAGGGGGTTGTGAGGATGAGGAGAGGGGAGGACATGCGACCAGTCGTAGCATCACTTGGGCTTCGGATAGATCCTCAGGTGAGTCTCAGCTCAGGTACATTCTCAGGTGAGTTTCCTTAGTCATTCAAAGCAACCCTTTGTCAATTCAAAGGTGGGCTGGAAGTGAGAAGAAGGGAGGCCATGCGAGCGGGCACTGAGGACATGCGGGCACTGAGGAAATGCGGGCACTGAGGACATGCGGGCACTGAGGACATGCGGGCACATGGAGAGAGCCCCAATTTACCTTTCATCCGCCCCAGGCGCTCTACCGCATGGAGTTTGACGGCGCCTCCAAGGGCAACCGTGTGCCTCGCCCCCCTCCCCCACTCAACGCGTTTTCCCCTGTTCACTGTTGTATCCCCCCCAACCCCCCTTCTCCGTCCCCCCCCAGACGCTCTACCGCATGGAGTTTGGTGGAGCTTCCAAGGGCAATTCTTGTCCGTGTCCCCCCCTGGTCAGCTCCTTGCTCACTGTGCCTTCCTCTCCCTCCTCCACCTCATATCCCCCACTTCCTCCCCAGGGTAGTTGGATTTGACGGTCAGGCAGGCCACCGTCAAGCGTCAAAACGGACCGTTTTGACGCTTGACGCTTGACGGTCGTTTTGACGCTTGACGGTCCCAGGAAAAAATTTCGGGCAGCCCGAAATCGAAATTTGTTTCCGGCGCAAAAAAAAATAAGCTTCTAAACATCGCGACTGCTAAGGCACTCAGATCGCGACTGTTAAGGCACTTGCTAAGGCGACTACTAAGGCATTCGACATCGCGACTGCAAAGGCGACCACAAAGGCACTCGACAGGGACTGCTAAGGCAACATCGCGACTACTAAGGCGACTGCTAAGGCGACTTATAAGGCACTCGATGTCGGGACTGCAATGTCTCTCGAAAAATCCAACACACAAAAACCCTCCCCTCCACCCCTTTCGACCGCACTACAACTACAACTACAACTACAGCACAAACACATTTCACTCGACATTGCACCACAACAGAAAACACATTTCAACAAAAATCAACCCCCCTACCCCTTCCCACCACACTAAATTGACAATGTCCAACCAAAAGACACATTTCCCTCTCCCCCCAACTAACGCGACTTACTTTTAGGGTTTCGACAGAAGCCATTCGACCTTGCTAGCTTAGATCGCCACCATAGCCTACTACCCCCCCCCCCCGAGACCCACCCCCCCTGGTTTTTTTTTGGCTGCCCGAAAGTTTTTTTGTGCCTGCCCGACAGAGCGTCAATAACACCGTCAAACTCTCGGAGAGTTCCGTCAAGCGTAAAAAAACGGACCGTCAAAACGGAACCGTCAAAACCGCTTGCTCCGTCAAATCCAACTAAGCCCCCAGGCGCTCTACCGAATGGAGTTTGACGGAGCCTCCAAGGGCAACCCGGGGCGGGCAGGGGCGGGCTCTGTGCTGTGGGATGAGCGCGGTAACGAGGTGAGACAGGGGTTGAGCAAGGAGGTAAGGTGGGTGCTTGGGGTGGGCTAGGCGTGCCTTTGTGTGGCAGGGGCAACCCGGGGCGGGCAGGGGCGGGGTCTGTGTTGTGGGATGAGCGTGGCAACGAGGTGAGTGGTGATGGGCTGTGAGTAATGAGGTGCCTGCTCTAGGTATTGGCTTGAAAGAGTATCTAAGGGCAACCCGGGGTGGGCAGGAGCGGGCTCTGTGCTGTGGGATGAGCGTGGCAACGAGGTGAGATTGGGGTGGGAAGGAAATGAGGTGAGGCAGGCGGAGAGGTGGGGTGAGGGTGGGCTTTTGTGTGGCAGGGGCGGGGTCTGTGCTGTGGGATGAGCGTGGCAACGAGGAGAGTCTGTCGGGCTTTGGTTTGGGAAGGAGGTGCGTTCTGAGTCGTCTCGAAAGTATGTCCTGTGGTACGAGCGGGGTAACGAGATGAGTCGACCATTGGAGCGTGGGACCCCTTCATAGCCCCCCTCCCTTCCCCCGCCCCCCTCCATACACCACGTTACCTGCCAGTTGCTGTGCATGAGGGAGGGCGTGGGACACGGCACGTGCAACATGGCAGAGTATCGCGCGTTCATAGGGGGCGTGGAGTTGGCGTTGGCTCTTGGCATTACTCGGTTGCACGTGCAAGGGGACTCCATGCTCGTTGTCATGCAGGTGGGTGGGTGAGGATGGTGGGATCAAGGTGGAAAAATAGGGTTCCGAAACAGAAGAAGAAGAGCAAAAGGTGGGTTTTTGGTGGAGAGTGTTGCCACCCTCCACCTACCCTGGGCACGTGGCGGATACCCTAAACCCACACACACACACACACACACACACACACACACACACACACACACACACACACACACACACACACACACACACACGCACCACCATTCCTCACATGACAAATGCACCCTTCCAATGATAGCGGATGCAGCCCAAGGGGCATCTTCCTTCTTCCCCACACGACCCTCTCCCTTGTGGTACGAAGCAAGCTGGGCTTGCAGCAATGTGCGTCGTTGCACTAACACCTATTTCCTGCAGCACAGTACTGACCCTGTTGATGATTCCAGGGTCATTGCATACCTCTGCTATTACCTCTGCACAAACTCCTATTACCTCTGCCGCATACTGGTTCCCTGGGTTCAAAAGTCAGCCGAGGGCGTGCAAAGGGTTGTACAACTGTCATCCCATCCGCTCACGATGTTTCTTTTGATGTCAACACTTTTGAGGCGCCTCTTGAGGCGACTTTTGAGGCGCCTCAAAAGTCATTTGCTCAGGCTGGTGTTTTGATGCCCTTTAGGCGGCGCGACCTGTCCTTCCCACCGCGGGGGTTGATGCGACGACTTTTGAGGCACCTCAAAATTTTTGAGGCGACTAAAAAGGCATTTACGAAGCGATGGCGTTTTGATGTCCTTCAGGAAGCGCGACCTGTCCTTCCCACGAGGAGGTTGATGCACGTAAAGGTGCAGAAGAAGTGGAAAGTAAACGAGGCTAAATCACTTTATCACGCAAAAGCGGCAGCTGGCGTGTCGTGCCGCTATGTTGGATTAGACGCGTCCTGCGTCTGAAGGCTGGCCGTTTTCCAACATAGCCGTGCCCATGCTTATGCATCCCATGCTCTCAGCATCTCATGCTCATGCTGGCACCTGTGCATGCATGCATACCCACCTGCCCCCTCTCCCCACACACACACCACTCTTACAAACTTTTACCTACCCCCCCCTTCTCCCCCTCTCCCCACAAACACACAAACACACTTACAGGTGCAGAACAAGTGGAAGGTGAACGCGGAGATGTTGAGGGAGCCGTGCAGGCAAGCAGAGCAGCTGGTGTGCCGGTTCAGAGAGATTGCCATCCGCCATGTGCCCAGGGTAGGTGGTGAATGGAGAGGTTTGAGAATGTAGTTTAGCTACTATGCCGAAGGAATTCGGAAAGTGATGCATGCACATGGTGTTGGTGTCAAGGGCAGGTCGTGATTCGTGTTCACACACTCAACTCAACATCACTCTTTCGAGCTGAGTTACCTGAGTAGGGTATGTGACCACTAATCGACATACATGCATGCTATTGTGCTGGTGCAGTGAGACTGAAAAATTGCAGAGTCATCTTAGCGCAACAAGCAGGTACTTTGGCTGATAACTATGTTTGGCCGTTTTGCCACTTCGTGCCATTGTTGCACAAGTGCATCCGTTTCCCACATGTTCCATCACCTCCTTTGCCACCCTCCACACCCCTCATCACCCCTCATCACCGCTCACCACCTCCCAGGAGTGCAACCAGTTGGCGGATCGTCTCTCCAATGAGGCGGTGCCTCTCGCAGGTCAGTCAGACCAGTTTAAGCCAGCTAGTCGCGTTTCTCACTCTTTATAGCCGTCACAGTCTTCACGCGCAAGGTCCTAGCCAGTTCCTCTTTTGAGTCGACTAAAAGTTCATCCCTTAAGAGTTAATGTTAATTATGTTTAAGCTCGTCTCTTACGCAAGGCCATGCTCCCTACAGTCCTGGCAGCTTCTTCGGACCTGCACCACCCCCCTTCCTTCAATCTGTCACGATTATCCTATCCTCTCATTATCCTCTCACGATCCCTTCTGTCCTCCGCTATTGCGTTGGCTATTTATTTTCAACATCCAATCATCCCTCTCTCCCCCACCCCCCCGGGGTCTCCTCCCTTCCCTGGCCATCCTCCCTATGTTTGTTCATTCCAACCAGAGGACGAGCGGGTAATCGGCCCCTCCACCTCCACTGCCAGCTCCCACCCTCTCCACGGCTTTACTGCCCACAGCACCACGCCCGCTCTCTACGCGCCCTATTATTAGGGAGCCGCAAGAACGGCATGTATAGACTCGGGCGCCCGCCCAAATTCCACTCCTCACAAACGCTGCCAGGCTGGCACGACAGCTCAAGCACACTTGAGCTGCACAGTATATTAGGCCTCCCTACACTTAGCAGTGACTTGGATTGTTCCTCTCGACCTTTTTCCTACGTCTGCCACCTGTGTGCCATGCCAATCTGCCACCTGCCACCTGTGTGCCATGCCAATCTGCCACCTGCCACCTGTGTGCCATGCCAATCTGCCACCTGCCACCTGTGTGCCATGCCAATCTGCCACCTGCCACCTGTGTGCCATGCCAATCTGCCACCTGCCACCTGTGTGCCATGCCAATCTGCCACCTGCCACCTGTGTGCCATGCCAATCTGCCACCTGCCACCTGTGTGCCATGCCAATCTGCCACCTGCCACCTGTGTGCCATGCCAATCTGCCACCTGCCACCTGTGTGCCATGCCAATCTGCCACCTGCCACCTGTGTGCCATGCCAATCTGCCACCTGCCACCTGTGTGCCATGCCAATCTGCCACCTGCCACCTGTGTGCCATGCCAATCTGCCACCTGCCACCTGTGTGCCATGCCAATCTGCCACCTGCCACCTGTGTGCCATGCCAATCTGCCACCTGCCACCTGTGTGCCATGCCAATCTGCCACCTGCCACCTGTGTGCCATGCCAATCTGCCACCTGCCACCTGTGTGCCATGCCAATCTGCCACCTGCCACCTGTGTGCCATGCCAATCTGCCACCTGCCACCTGTGTGCCATGCCAATCTGCCACCTGCCACCTGTGTGCCATGCCAATCTGCCACCTGCCACCTGTGTGCCATGCCAATCTGCCACCTGCCACCTGTGTGCCATGCCAATCTGCCACCTGCCACCTGTGTGCCATGCCAATCTGCCACCTGCCACCTGTGTGCCATGCCAATCTGCCACCTGCCACCTGTGTGCCATGCCAATCTGCCACCTGCCACCTGTGTGCCATGCCAATCTGCCACCTGCCACCTGTGTGCCATGCCAATCTGCCACCTGCCACCTGTGTGCCATGCCAATCTGCCACCTGCCACCTGTGTGCCATGCCAATCTGCCACCTGCCACCTGTGTGCCATGCCAATCTGCCACCTGCCACCTGTGTGCCATGCCAATCTGCCACCTGCCACCTGTGTGCCATGCCAATCTGCCACCTGCCACCTGTGTGCCATGCCAATCTGCCACCTGCCACCTGTGTGCCATGCCAATCTGCCACCTGCCACCTGTGTGCCATGCCAATCTGCCACGTTCTTCCTACATCTGCCCCATCACCGCCAGCCGCTGGTTCGCTTCGCTGCACCCACTCATGAGGGGGGAAGGCAGCGATTACATTATGCTCCCTTCCCTCTTCAATTGAGACCCATATGTCGGGCACGCTCCATCGCTGCCACCTACTCACCCGCATTGTACAACCCCCTCATGGGGGGGAGGCAGTAAGGAAGTGAGGCATTGCCCATGCCACTCTCCCTCCTCTCTCGCCTGCACCCTCGTTGCTACTCTGTCTCCCTCTCCACCACACGCCCGGCACGCCCCATCCGCACCAGCTACTCACCCACATTACACAACCTCCTTATGGCGGAATGGCAGTGAGGCAGTGAAACGGAGACTGTGCCTCCCTCTCCCTCCCTTGCCTTTTCCTTATCAAATGCGATTAAACCTGTTGGGTACGCACCATCCGCACTACTCACCCGCATTGCACCATTCCCTCATGAGGGGGAGGCAGTGAGGGAGTGAGTGAGTGAGAATGGGGCAATGGGGCAGTGGGCCAGTGGGGCAGTGGGTAAGTGGGGCAGTGGAGCAGTGGGTAAGTGGGGCAGTGGAGCAGTGGGTAAGTGGGGCAGAGTGGGGCAGAGTGGGGCAGTGGGGCAGTGGGGCATTGGGGCATTGGGGCAGTGGGACAGTGGGGCCATCAAGCATCAAAGCACTAGTCGTTCGTGCCTTCCATGCTCTTCCTTCCTCATTAATGCCATCTACTGCTTATACTGTGCAACAGCAGCACAGACCAGCACCCTCGCAACTCTAAGCAAGCATGCGACTCATAGCAGCACAGCAGGTTAACCATGGTGGTAACAGTGCTCGGGCCTAAGTAAAGAATAGCTTGTGAGTAGCTTTTACGGTAGTATATGTGCACTGAAGGTTTGTGAGTGTGAGATAGTCAGGAAAGAATTTTCAGATATTACCAGGGTTTAGGGCTGCAGCTAAAATAGTGACCCCCCCCTTCTAGTTGGGTCCACTTGAAGTCTCAAACTCAATTTGAAGTGTTTTTTCCGAAATAATTGTCAAGAATAGTGTCAAGAATAGAACTAGGAATGAATGATAGAACTAGGCAAGAGGTGAGTAGGGTTTAGGGTTTAGGGTTTAGGAATGAATGAATATATAGCAGTGTACAACAAGAGCAAGTCAAGCAACCATCAGGTGAGGCAGAGTGGGCACAAGCCCAAGAGCTGTACAGAAACGCTGATGATCACCAGACCCAAGGGCCTTGGTGAAGACATCAGCAGTGCTGGCCCGAGAGGCCACGTAAGCAAGGCGCAGCTGACCACGCTGCTGCAGCTCACGCGCAAGGAAGTAGCGAAGAGCAATGTGCTTCGTTCTGTGCTCCAGTCTCTGCTCGCGACACAAGGCAAGCATTGCCTTGTTGTCGACGTACAGAACTGGAGGAGAACGAGGCCGCTCCCCCAAGTCGGTGAGCAGGTAGGTCAGCCAGCGTAGCTCCTGTGCAGCCATGGCCCCAGCGTAGATCTCGGCCTCACAGCTGGAACCAAGCACAGAAGAAGAACGAGTGGACCTCCACGAGACAGAACCAGAGCCAAGACTGAAGGTGTAACCCTGTGACGAACGCTGAGTCGTCTGGTCGTCGGCCCAAGAAGCGTCAGAGTGTCCTGTGAGGACCACCGAACCCCGTCCTCCAAGCACGAGCCCTATGCCCGATGTGCTGCACAAGTAACGCAGTACCCTCTTCGCAGCATCAAAGTGCACCTTTCGGTGTCGACCAGGTGCCACGTAGCGAGCCAGGAGGCTGAGAGGGTACACGAGGTCAGGTCGTGTGTGTTAGAATCTAGCAGCAGGGATGAATGAACTATGAAAGAGTTGGGTACAAGTATGAAACCCTAAAAGGGGTTGTACCCCATATTGGCTACCCCACGACAGCCTACACATATGTAACATGCATATACTTTGACACACCCCCATAGGCAAAGTGGGGGAGAGCAAGGGGTCACAAGACCAGTCAAGAGAAGCAAAGCAAGCTCAGGGTGGATCACAACGTCACCACACACACTGAGCACAAGCAAAGGGCCACAAGGCCAGTTCACATGCAGAGGTATATATGCAAAAACAACAGCACAGTGATCTCTACCTAACAGAGCAAGCATGCAGGTATATATATAGATCACAGTACAAGAAAAGTCTACAGCAAGTGAGGAAACGTGGGCACAAGGCCTAACAGAGTGCAAAAACGCTGATAATCACCAGACGGAAGCGCCTTGGTGAATATATCAGCAGTGTTGGCCCGAGTGGCCACGTGAGCAAGACGAAGCTGACCACGCTGCTGCAACTCTCGAGCCAGGAAGTAACGCAGAGCGATGTGCTTCGTTCTGTGCTCCAGTCTGTGCTTCTGACACAAGGCAATGGCGGCCTTGTTGTCGACGTACAGCACTGGAGGAGAACGAGGCGGCTCTCCCAAGTCGGTCAGCAGGTAGGTGAGCCAGCGTAACTCCTGTGCAGCCATGGCTGTGGCGTAGATCTCAGCCTCACAACTGGAGCTGAGAACTGAAGACGAGCGTGTAGAACGCCAAGAAACCGAACCAGAGCCAAGGCTGAAGGTGTAACCCTGTGACGACCGCTGCGTAGCCTGGTCGTCAACCCAAGAAGCGTCCGAGTGCCCAGTGAGGACAACGTCGCCCCGTCCTCCAAGCACGAGCCCCATGCCCGATGTACTGCACAAGTAGCGCAGTACCCTCTTAGCAGCATCCATGTGCACCTTTCGGTGCCGACCAGGAGCCACGTAGCGAGCCAGAAGGCCAAGAGGGTGCGCAAGGTTAGGACGAGAGCAAGTCATCAGGTACATGAGGCAGCCCACTAGCTCTGGGTAAGGACCACTCGGCTCTACGGATTCGTCCGAAGGTGGAGCTGAGAGCGAGTGACCTGTAGCCAGAGGAGTGGCCTGTGCCGAGGACCAGGTGAAGCCGAAGCGCTGAAGGACCTGCTGCACCATGTGTGACTGAGTCAGTGTGATGGTGCGGCGTGCTCTGTCCCGGGTGATCTGCAAGCCAAGGTAACTGCGCAACTCACCCAGGTCTGTGCACGTGTGTCTCTTCTGCAGCTCCGACTTCACCAGGGCGAGAGCCTCAGTGTCAGCAGTGGCAAAGACCAAGTCTTCAACGTACACGAGGATGTAGAACGGCGGCATCGAAGTGTCGGTGCGCAGAAACATCGACGGGTCAGCAGTCGACGGAGCAAACCCAAGAGCCGCAAGTGTCGTCCTCAGTGTGTCGTGCCACTCACGTGGCGCCTGGCGGAGACTGTAGACCGGCCGCCGGAGGCTCCACTGGGTACCAGGAGGGAACGACCCAGTGAAGCCAGGTGGGCGGTGCAGCCAGATCTCTTCGTGCAGGCTGCCCTGTAAGAAGGCTGTGCTGAAGTCAAGAGAGTGAAGCTCGTAGTCACGCTGAGCGGCAACGTGCAGCAGCACCCGAAGAGTGGTCATCTTCGGGGTGGGGGAGAAGGTCTGGAAGAAGTCTACTCCCTCTCGCTGACTGAAACCTCGTGCAACGTAACGCGCCTTGAAGACAGGCGGAGAACCCGGCGGCCGCTTCACCCTGAAAATCCACATGCCACTGACGATGTTCGTCCCAGGTGGGGGAACCTCGTCGACGTAAGTGCCTGTGGACTTCCAGGATGCCATCTCTGCGTCCATGGCTGTCTGCCACTGAGAGGAGTACTCACCCGCTATCGCCTCAGCGTAAGAGCGCGGGGTCGGGATGTCTGGAGCATCCGGGTCTCCCTCAGGGGCAAGCAGCATGGACACGAGATGAGGCGCAGCGGCTGCAAGACACTCAAGGTCCTCCTGCCTGTCCTCAAGGACGTCCGTGCCAAGAGCACACTCACCCCCGACGGACGGAGGACAGACAGACTCAGACTCAGCAACAAGACTAGCGGCGTAGTCTAGACGACAGGCAGCAGCAAAGTCAACAAGCTCAGCGACTAAGGCAGACGCAGCAGCAGACTCAAACGACGGGTCAGTGACAACAGTGGCTAGCAGACGCGTGACAGTAGGGTGCTCAGCACGAAACCGGTCAGACTCGGGGTCCGCAACGACAGGCAGAGAAGACGCAGGAGGAGACGGCAGAGGAACACGCTGCGGAGGAGAGGAAGGACGACGGACTACGAGGTGGGTGTCGGGGACAGCCGGCAGACGCGGACGAGGAACACGACGACCGGAACGACCAGAACAGACAGGCGAGATAGGACGCGACGCAGGCTCACGACGCTCAGTAAGACCCCCTAGCTGCTCAGTGTAAGGAGAAGGAGCAGGCAGCGGTGATCCAGGCTGTAACGGAAGACCAGTAGACGAAGGGAGACTAAGAACCTGGCGAAGCACAGAGTCAGGCGGTGGCTGAGACGACGGAGACGGTGGAGCGAAGAACAGGCGCGGCTGTGCAGTGACACCAGCACCAGCAGCTCCAGTACCTCCAGCAGCTCCAGAACCCTCAGCGCCAGCTCCTCCAGGACCAGCTCCACCAACAGCAGCACCCCCAGAACCGGCACCTCCAGTCCCAGGGTCTCCAGCCTCAGTGCCTCCAGCAGCAGCACCCCCAGACCCAGGGTCTCCAGCAGTAGCACCCTCAGGCTCAGCAGCACCTCCAGCCCCAGCAGCTCCAGTACCTCCACTACGAGCACCTCCGGGACCAGCACCACTCCCAGCTCCAGTGACGTCAGCAGAAGTACCTCCAGCGGCAGAGCCCCGAGCTCCAGAAGCGCGACCCTGACGGCGACCGTACCAGTCCTGCAGCTGCTGTGAGGTGAGAGGCACACGCGGACGGAGGCGGCTACTCCAAGGAGACCGCGCAACAGCAGACTCAGAACCCTCAGCGCCAGCACCTCCAACAGCTCCAGAACCTCCAGCGTCAGCACCCGCAGCAGCTCCAGAACCTCCAGCTCCAGCGCCACCAGCAGTAGCACCCCCAGAACCGGCACCTCCAGCTCCAGGGCCTCCAGTAGAAACAACTCCAGTAGGAGAGTCACCAGCTCCAGCGCCTCCCGCAGCAGGGCCCCTAGCTCCAGCAGCTCGACCCTGACGGCTGACGTACCACTCACGTAGCTGCCGAGGGGAGAGAGGGAGACGACGACGAGAGTGCAGCGGCGAGGAACCAGCGGAGCGACTACGGAGACGGCCGCTCCAGGGAGACTGCTCACCAAACGCCTCAGCGCCCCCAGGTGCAGCACCCCCAGACTCAGTACCCCCAGGCTCAGCACCCCCAGACTCCTCACGCCCAGACTCAGCACCTCCAGTCTCCGCACCCCCAGGCTCCGCACCTCCAGGCTCCGCACCCCCAGGCTCCGCACCTCCAGGCTCCGCACCCCCAGGCTCAGCACCCCAAGGCTCCGCACCCCCAGGCTCAGCACCCCCAGGAGCAGCACCCCGAGTAGGACCACCCTCAGCAGGACCTGAGTCACCAGTGACCTCAACCGGCTCAGTCAAGGGAGGAGGGTCTACCTGAGACACACCTGAAGGAGCAGGACCGGGAGCGGGGAGGGGGTCTACCTGGGGAGCACCTAAAGCGAGGAAGAGCGGCGGGGGGGGGAGAGGGGCAGTGCGGTAGGGGAAGAGACGGTAAAAGGGAACCGACTCGTCGAACGTGACGTCCTGAGAGGGGAAGACCCGGCGCGAGGTGGGGTGGTAAAACTGCCAACCAGGCGCGCCAGGGACAAAGCCAAGGAAGACACAGGGAACAGCGCGGGCGGAGAGCTTGTCCGCGGTGGTATCGCGGACAAAGGCACGAGCACCCCAGACCCGGAAACGTGACGCATCGCCAACCTTCCCCGTCCACAGCAGTGTGGGCGAGGTCTCCGGCAAGGAGACACGGGGCCAGAGGTTGAGCTGATGCGCGGCGTACCGGACTGCAAACGGCCACAGAAAATGGGGGGCAGCCGCATGGATCATGGAGGTACGAGTGACCTCCATGACTAAGCCAATGTGGCGCTCAGCAACCCCATTCTGCTGCGGAGAGGCCGGAAGCGTGAACGTCTGGCGGATGCCGTGCTCCGCACAGAAGGCTGCCAAGAGGTCTGAGGAGAACTCACCACCCCTGTCAGAGTGCAGACGCAGGACAGGAAAGTCCGACTGGAACCGCTGGCGGAGCTGGAGACGAACAGCGCGGATCCAGGGGATCAAAACATCAGGGACCTCCCCCTTGCTGCGCAAGGGGAAGACCGTGGTGTAACGCGTGTAGTCGTCGACGACCAGCAGGAAGTACCGCTCGTGGCCCTGTCCACGAACGCGGGCTGGGCCCCACACGTCCAGGTGGAGAGTCTGCAGGGGAGCCTCTGTGGGAGGGAACGAGGAGGAGTGAGGAGCGGCGCGCTGCCGCCCCTCGACACAGGGAAGACAGGGAGGAGCAGGCGAGGGTGGTAGAGGAGGCAGAGTCTCTGGAAGTCCAGAGACAAGGAAACGGCGGTGCATGCTACGAAGGCGCTGTACCGAGGGGTGACCAAGGCCATGTGTAAGGTGGAATTGGACGCTGCTCACTGTTTGGAAGAATAAGAGTTGGATGTCGCAAACTTGCAACATTCTTGTGTGCAAATCCAAGTGAATTGGATGCGACAGTTTCGTATGTGCTCGCTCAACATTGATCACGCTCGTTCAGTGAGGGATCCAACAAAAAAAAACCACAACACTTCCAACCATAAAAAACATTACAAATTAAGTTTGTGACTTTCAACTGGACCCAACTAGAAGGGGGGGGGTCACTATTTTGCATACGGGCTTTGATTGCATATGACGTTGAACATTCTATTTCTGTATGGCAGCATGCAGGAATGCCAGGAACCGTAAATTCAAGTAATCATTTAGCTTCAACTGTGTACTAAGATTGTGGGCAGGGTGGTGGGGCGCGCTGCTGGCGGGAGCTCGTTGCTGGCGCGTGTCAGAATGTGATGTTTGTGTAGCCTGCAGTGGGGTACTCTGTAGCGAGTACAGCCCGAATTAGGGTTTGCTATATGTACTCAACTGCATGCTAGTGAAAACCCCTCTTTCGTGTTTATCGTTTTAGCCTGTTATTTCGACATGCTATCAGAGCAGGTCGACCCTCCTGGGTCGATCCTGTGCGTGGTCCCGCCCAATGCTTCCGCTGCGGTTTCCTGCTGTCCGCTGCCTACCGCGCGCTCCGGGCGCGCGGCGAGCGCGCGGCGGTTTTCTGCCCCGTCGAACCGCGCGTCGCCCCCTGTCGACCGTCGCGTCGCCCCCCGTCGCCCGACGCGGCCCGCGCGACCTGCGCCAGGCCCGCGCGCGACCCGTACGGGCTGCGCCAGGCCCGCGCGCGGCCCGTACGGGCCGCGCGCGCCAGGCTCGCGCGCGGCCCGTACAGCCCGCGCGCGGCCCGTACGGGCTGCGCCAGGCCCGCGCGCGGCCCGGGCAGCCCGCGTGCGGTTCGTCCCGAGCTTCTGACCGCGCCCCACCCCCGCTGCTGCCCGCGCTCCTGTGTTAGGGTTTGGGGGTGGAGAGTATGGGGGTGCCGGGTGTGTGAGCCGTCCCCTGCTCCTCCTCCTCCTCCGTCTCCCACTGCTGCAGCTGCCGCTGAGGGGGGTGGATGTGTTGGAGCCGTCGGAGTGGTACGAGGGGGGTGGCGTGTGAGCGGTGCTAGTGGTTCAGCAGGGAGTGTGTGAAAGGGGTGTGGGACAGTTGGGGGAGGTTGACAGGAGGTGGCCGTTGTGACGTCTGCAGCGCCAGTAGTCCGGGGGTTGAGTACTCCGGTAGCCCAGCGAGCCTGCTGCTGCCAGTCGCCCGTGGGTCTGTTGCTCCTGCTGCTGCTTAGCGCGGAGCCAGTTACTCCTGTAGTCCGGAGGTTGAGTGCTCCGGTAGCCACCGTGCGCGCCGTTCCTGTTGCCCGTGTGTCTGCGGCTTCACCCGTCGCCTTCTATCTTCACTCCTCTCACAGTCTCTCCTCCTCCTCACTTGCCCTCTGTGACTGCCTCTAGCTTTGTGTTTCATTGTGAACTATTGCTCTATGACTGCGTGTTGTGTTGATTGTACCCCACTTTGACTATGGGGGTGTGTCAGAATGTGATGCTTGTGTAGCCTGCAGTGGGGTACTCTGTAGCGAGTACAGCCCGAATTAGGGTTTGCTATATGTACTCAACTGCATGCTAGTGAAAACCCCTCTTTCGTGTTTATCGTTTTAGCCTGCTATTTCGACAGCGCGTTGTGCGGGTGGCGCTGTACACACTGTGCACGCTGTACACGCTGGCGCGCTGTGGCGCGTTGTGAGTGAGCGCTGCTGGCGCGCTGTGGAGCATCGTGCGCGCTGCTGGCGCGCTGTGGAGCATCGTGCGCGCTGCTGGCGCGCTGGCGGCGGGCATGCTGTGCGGGTAGACGCACGCTAGCGGGCAGCGCGCTGGCGGCTGGCGGGCTGGTTGGCTCTGGCTGACTGGTTTGGGTTGGCGGGCAAAGGTTGGCTGGCCGGCAGTCTGTCTAGCAGCTAGGTAAGGCAGCGGGCAAGGCTATGATGTAACCTAACTGATACCATGTCAGAATCAGAACCAGAATGAATGATATCAACATAATGTTGGTACAAATAACTGTAGCTAACATAGGCTAAAAAACGTAACACTACAAACGTTACGAAGCAGTGTGCAGCGTGTAAACATCTGAACCAGGGTCACGGAAGAACGTGGCAATATGTGCCCCAGTAATACTGTCCGTGCAGATCGCGAACTTCTCGCCTCCAGGAAACATGGTGGTGACACCGAGGTCCTGAAGACAACCGACATCCACCAAGTTCTTGGAGAACGAGGGGATGTACAGACATGTGCCGACCGGCATCTGCCCACCAGCGACGACTGTGACCTCCGCCATAGTGAGCTGAGGTGGAACACACCCCTTAAAAATGGGGGAGACTACTGCACCAATGGTGGAGGCGGTGGTGCGAAAACGGGTCTCGTTCCTAGTGAGACTAGTATAAAAAAGATCGATTGTGAGGTGCATGGGGTGCATGGCGAGGAGAGCGTCGCGGAGAGGCGCAAAGCGATCAGGGAGGCAGGCTGCGATGAGGTACAGTGTGAGATGCATATACCGGGGGTGGCTAGCAAGCTGGGCAGTAGTGCAAGCTGCACGGTAGCTAGCGTCAAGCAAGCGCAGGTGGGTAATGAGGTCCGCGACAGTGGAGAACGCAGGAGGATCAGAGAACAGCAAAGCCAGGACGAGCCGCAATAGAGTAGCAGACGAATGGGTGGAGTAGCGAGTAATAATAGCATCAAAACACTCCTTCGCCGTCACGGCATGACGAAAGTGCGCCCGCTCGGTCGGCGGGAGGAGACGACTAAGAGCAAGGCGCGCAGCAGCGTCACGCGACTCCCAAACTCTGTATGCAAGTCAATTCATGTGATGAGCCTCTCGCTCCACCGACATGGCCTCAGCAACAAGATCAGGAAGACGCTGGGGGGCAGGTAGCTCACCCGACGCGTGTGCGTACAGGGTGACGTTACTTTGGAGTTGGCTCCGCAGGTGGAGCGTGACGTCGAGAAGCCATGCGTCAAGGTCGATCGCCCGCCCCTCCGCATCGAGCTGCAGCACGCACTCGGACGCCATGGTAGGAGTGAGAAGGGGCACAGCTTCAGCGAAGGGAACTATCACCCGCTCGTCCTCTGGTTAGAATAAAACATGGATGGAAGGAAGTGGACGGGACGGAAGAGGGAAGGTGGGACGAGGAGGGATTGGGAGAGATAGAGATGGATGGAGGAGGACGGATGGAGCGATCAGAGAATATTGAGAGGTGCAGGAGGATAGGACAACCACTCGTTGGACTTCTAATGAAAAAAGGAAGGGGGTGAATTTAGGAATGGAGGGATGGAGAGGAGGGGAAGAAGGAGGAGGATTGAGGTGGAGAAAAGAGGAGCTACAAGGAGAAAATCGTTGGTGCAGGTCCTTCAGTTGACGGGAAAAGGGATAGTGGGGAGGGGAGAACAGAATGGATAAAGAGACAATGATGGGATGGACGGAGGGAAAGGAAGGGGAGTGGAAGGATGAGGAGAAAGCAGGTGGTGCAGGCCTGCATAGGCTGCAAAGGCTGCAAAGGCTGCAAGGCCTGCAATCATTAGAGTATGGCTTCAAAATATGACTTGTTGATTGAATGCCTCACTCAGACCTTACATGTGAAGTAGGAAAGATACAAGCTGGTCCTTATTTTGTTGTCTTTTCGTTTGACATATGATTGTGACATTGTAAGGAGGAGTGAGCAACAACACTAGTTGGCCTTAAGAGGTCTGACTAACTGACCTGCGAGAGGAACTGCCTCATTGGAGAGTCGATCCGCCAACTGGTTCCACTCCTGGGAAGTGGTGAGGGGTGACAAGCGATGATGAGGGACGTAGAGGGGTGGTAAGCGGTGGTGAGGGAGGTGATGGAGCACGTGGGATTCTGATGCACTAGTGTAAGAATGGCACAGAATAGTTCATGTTTACAGTGCGCACGAGCATGGAACAATCCAAGAATGACTAACACTGAAAAAGCTACCAACCAACCAGCACTGTAAACAGATACTGTCGCCCCTGCACAACAGTCACAGTATGTGCTTGCTGTGTTGACATGACTCTGCCTTGCTGCTGATTTTTTAGGCGCCTAAAAAATCTGCGTGCATTGAGGTGATTTTTTAGGCGCCTCAAAAAACAGTGACAGTAAGTGCTTGCTGTGTTGACATGACTCTGCCTTGCTGCAATTTCATTCAACAGGCACAGCAGCTTGCATGCATGTCAACAGATGGCCACTACATACCCCACTCAGCGAAAAAAAGATGTTGAATGAGCGAGAAGTTGGGTGTGTGAAGCCTCACACTCATGAGTCCCGTCACGACCTACCCTCTCCACACATCACCGTATGTTTTGAGTCGACTCAAAACGAGAAGTTGAGTGTGTGAACCCTCACACTCATGAGTCACGACCTACCCTCTCCACACATCACCATATGCATCACTTTCACCAATTTCCTTCCGCATAGCTATACTTTATATCCTCAAACCTCTCCGGTCACCACCTACCCTGGGCACGGCAATTTTGTTGAAATGACACACCAGATGCTGTGCTTACATGCTTGCAGTGCTGCTGCCTTATCCCCACACACTGCCAGGGGCGTCCCACCCACCTAAACTCAAACCTCTCTATTCTCCACCTACCCTGGGCACGTGGCGGATGGCGATCTCTCTGAACCGGCACACCAGCTGCTGTGCTCGCTTGCACGGCTCCCTTAGCATCTCGGCGTTCACCTTCCATTTGTTCTGCACCTGTGGGGGTGTGGAGAAGGAGAGGAGTGGCATGTGTGTGTCCATGTGTGTGTCTTTGCATGTGTCTGTGATGTGTCTGTGAGAATATCCTTGCGTGCATGGCTCTCTCAGCATCTCTGCAGTGCCGTGATCGCAATAGACTGAACACTCAGACCATGACAGATGGCATGTCACTTGGATGGCAGGCAGGCATGCATCTAGTCCCCCTTCGAGGGCTGCATTCCACAAGGAGCAAGAACAGCGCACCCAATTTTTCGCAGACCTAGCTGCGGGCAAGATTATCGCGGCCACTTTGTGAAACGTGATGCCGCCAGCAACCCAAGAAAAGGATGAAGGAGAATGTGGTGATGTCGGCGGTGCGGTTGATTAACACGGCAGCATTGGGAAGCGGAAGAGAACAGTTGTGGGCCGAAGGAAGGAGGGGGAAACATGGCAAGACGGACGGGCATGGAGTCCACCTTGATCCCACCTCCCTCGCCCACCCACCCACCTGCATGACGACCAGCATGGAGTCCCCTTGCACGTGCAACTGAGTAATGCCAAGACGACGGGCATGGAGTCCACCTTACTCCCACCTTCCTCACCCACTCACCTGCATGACCACGAGCATAGAGTCCCCTTGCACGTGTAGCCTTGTGATGCCGAGAGCCAGTGCTAGCTCCAACCCCCCTATGAACGCGCGGTACTCTGCCATGTTGCATGTGCCGTGCCCCACGCCCTCCCTCATGCATACCAGCTGGCAGGTGATGTGGTGTAGGGAGGGGGTGGGAAGGGGGGGATGGGGGGAAAGACGGGTGAGAGTCGCCAAAAGGGAGGTGGGAAATCCCACACTCCAAAGAGCGACTCACCTCGTTTCCCCCCTCATCCCACAGGACATATCTTTAAGCCGACTGAAAACACACCTCCTTGCCAAACCAAACCCCGACAGACTCACCTCGTAGCCACGCTCGTCTCTCAGAACTGACCCCGCCCCTGCCCGCCCCGGGTTGCCCTTGGAGGCTCCGTCAAACTCCATGCGGTAGAGCGCCTGGGGGGAGGCGGAGAAGAGGGGTTGGTGGGGGTACAATTGAGGGAGGGGGGCGAGGCGAGGCACAAGGTTGCCCTTGGAGGCTCTGTCAAACTTCATGCGGTAGAGCGCCTGGAGGGGTTGAAGGGTAAATTGAGAACCCAAAGCGAGGAAACGAAGATTTCGTGTGCTGATTTGATACGCGTCCAAATATCAATGAATGAGCAGGGGAGAGGTACCGCCAGACATTCCGCTTAAAGGTGCCATCGAACTCCATACAAAGAGCGCATTTGGAGGGGCTCTCTACATGTGTGGCCGCACGGAGTCACTTTTGAGAATTCTCAAGAAAGTGACTCGCAAATATCCATCAAACTCCATGTTGTAGAGCACTTTGGAGGGCCTCTCTATATGTGGCCGCATGTCCTCCCGTCTTCTCGCTTCCACCCCACGTTTGAATCTACTGAATGACTAAGGCAACTCACCTGAGAATCCACCTGAGACTCACCTGAGGGTCTATCAGAAGCCCAAGTGATGCTACGACTGGTCGCATGTCCTCCCCTCTCCTCATCCTCACAGCCCCCTGCCTTCCCACTACTCTCACTCCCTCCTCCCTCCCCACACCCGCTCCCTCCTCCCCATCCCATGTTGCGGAGGGTAAGGAAAAGTGGGAGGCTATGTTGCGGAAGACGCAGGGACCGTCCTGCGTCTAGACGCAGCGTCTAGACGCTAGACGCAAGACGCACCTTTAGACGCTAGACGCATGTGGCAAATGTTTTCGGGCAGCCCGGAAAAAAAAAATTCGCAACATAGGTGGGAGGGTGTTTTGAGAAACATTCTTAGGGTGGGGTGAAGAAGGAGGGAGGAAGAAGGGAAAGGAGAGAAACGAAAGCACTCGAGTGAGTGGGAGAGGGAGAGTAGGAGAACGAGAGGAGAGGCGAAGGTAGTGAGTGGAAGTGAGTAGGGATGGGGGGGAAGGGCTGTGTTGTGTGTATAAATGCCAGTAGAAACTTGAAGGTACTGAAACCGTGAAGCAGTTTGTAGAATCGAACTGAAGAAACGGTTACTAAGGCAGGTCCGCTGAGCTGCAGGAATGGGAATGCTGGCAGCCTGGCAGCAGCCGCAGCAAATCACGTGGCAACTGTTTTTGGGTCGACTCAAATGCAGCCTGGCACCAGCCGCAGAAAATTATGTTGCAACCGCAGCAAATCATGTTGCAACCGTTTTTTAGTCGACTCAAAAGCAGCCTGGCAGCAGCCACAGCAAATCATGTTGCACCTTGCACCTTGCACCTCTCAAAAGAGATAGGAGTTACTAGTAGTAACAAACAACTAGGCACTTGAGCACTCACCAACATCAGCGTATACCCCTGTTGTGACAGCGAAAAGAGAAACAGCAGCAGGTGTATGCGCGTCAGCAGTAGCAGCAGCAGCAGTAGCAGAGGGTGTAAAGGCGTCATTTGAAGCAGCACTTGTATACGGGTCAGCAGTAGTGGCAGCAGCAGGCATAAAGGCGTGAGTTGGAGCCTCCGCGGCTTGCGTGAAGGGCGAAGTGACGAAGACGTTAGCCAAGGCGAGGTAGGACCTGGCTTCATCCAATGACTCAAAGCTCTTGCACTGGTTGCCTTTGAAATTATACACCTGGGAGAGATTATAACGAGGACAGTGTATTTTCGATATGGTGGACTGGACTGGACTGTGCATGTAGATGCGCTAAGGAAAAGGAGAACCTGCATTGTTGTCGCCAAGGTTTGGGTTGCGAGAGATGGCTTGGGGGTGAGAAAAGGGCATTCGCAGCAATGCGAGCAAACCGCGATTCAGCATGAGAACCAGAAATGAACCGCACGAGAGACGAACAGTAAACGTTCGCATTCGTTCACACTTAGCTCAAATATTGAGATGACAATGCAGGCAGAAAGCATGTTGCTGTGGTGCGCAGATCAAATACCTAATAAACGAAACCACGTCCGACTCATTAACATCTGCTTACCTGTCGTTGACATTCCGGCCACGTCAGATAAATCCCTGGCTGATGTCCTTTCCGAACCGCGTAGTACTTAGTCTTAGCCATTAGGATCTGCGCCAGTTGCGTCACGCGGCAATCGTCAGTAACTGCAACGCCGCAACGAAGCGCATCCGCCTCCTAAGCAACTGCGATACGGGCCAACAGCGTCAGCGTCACGCTGTGCCTAAGTACGGTATAATGGTTGAAACGGGACGAGTGTGACAAATGGAGATTGTTTGCCCCCAAAGAAACTGCGAACCGAAATGCTGTGGCGAAAAGCTGAATAGGGCTGGTACATTTTGGAATTTGGGTCATGCGCACGGCTGGAATGTTTCTACTCTTTTAGGGTTACCTTTTCACAAAATTGTGTAGACAATATCATGTATACATGACCACTGTCCCAGTATCAGGATGAGCAGAGGCTTGTTGCGATGCAGAAACCTTTAATTTGAAGATATTATAAAACACAAGCACATGCACTTGTGGGTGTGACACTGGGCGATTTCCTGCCAATCATTCACACTAAAGGTCGCAGCAGCATCAGGGCTCTGGTTATCAGACGAATTTCGTCTGATTGTCTGAAAATCAGACATGAATTTTAACGTTCATATGATTTTCCAGACCAGCTAATAATGCTCATATGATTTCACAGACAGAGCATTTTTTTTCATCTGAAATAACAGACTAAGGACTTATATCTTGTCTGAGTTCTCAGACAGCGAGTACATTTCCCTCTGAAACTAACAAGTTCCGAACGGCTAACACCTGGACGTTTCGCTTAAACCTGTTGATTATTTTATGTTTCCACGTTTTCTATCCGATGTGGTTCAGTCCATAGTCGATTTAATGATTTCCGCGAAGGCCAGGGTTCGATTCTTGGTGCCGTAGAGCGGTTCCGAATTTGGCAAAAATTGGATCTCCTACTTTTGAGAAATAACAGAAGTGCATATATTTCTTCTGAAAATTCAGACAAGGGCCAGTGTTTCGTCTGAAAATTCAGACCACCTGAGGTAGCTCGTATTTCGTTCAGACATTTTTTTTTTTACTACTTCAGTTTCAGACGGGCCAAAATCCTAGCCAGAGCCCTGAGCAGCATCATGTGTGCCGGTGCGGTACTTGAGGCTCTGTGTTGTGTCAGGAGGAGGCCTTACGGGAATGGAGTTTCGCGGGTCGGCCAAGTCTATTCCGAGTCGACCCACAAGTCACCTTGAGGTGGTCTGGAGGAGCTAATTTTGGTGGGACGGCTGCATTCGTTGCTGCACTATAGGGTTTGCACACGTCCTAGCCGCAGCTCACATGTACTTGAAGCACTGTGTTGGTCGGGACTCAGGAGGCCTTAGAGGAACGGATTTTGAGGGGCCAGCCGCGTCTGGGGATGGGCTTGGGGGAGGGCAGGGAGAGGGAGGGGATGGTGCTGTTGCTGTTGCGGTCTCAGTCACAGGTGAAGTGTCTAAAGCCTAGGTTGCAGCTCACGTGTGCTTGACACGTAATGTTGGTCAGGAGGAGGCTTTGGAGGAGCGGATTTTGGGGGGCCGGCCGCGTCTGGGGATAGGCTTGGGGGAGGGCACGGAGAGGGAGGGAATGGTGCTGCTGCTGTTGCTGTTGCTATTGCTGGTGCTATCGTTGTCACACAATCCATGTCTCAGCTGGTAACGAGGAGGCTTTAGAGGAGCGGATTTTGGGCGGCCGGCCGCGTCTGGGGATGGGCTTGGGGGAGGGCACGGAGAGGGAGGGAATGGTGCTGGTGCCGTGGAGAAAGCGGGTGGTGCAGGTAGAGGGGATGATCACCCGTTGGTTCTCTGGATGGGAGTAAGGAGAGGGGGGAAAGAAATGGGGAGAGGGAACGTAAGGAGAGGAGGGCAGTAGTGGTGTTGGTGATGGTGCTGTGGAGAAAGCCGGTCGTGCAGGTAGAGCGGATGATTACCCGCTGGTTCTCTGGAGGGGAATCAAGAGGAGGGATGAAGGGTGGGGGGGGGGAAAGGATGAAGAGGGAGAGAGAAGGAGGGTTGGAGCCATAAGAAGAAAGAAAGCAGGTTATGCAGGTAGCGGAGTCAAGCACCATTGCTTGCATTAAGGTGAGTTGTGAATGAAGAGAGTGGCCATGAGAAGAAAGAAAGCAGGTTATGCAGGTAGCGGAGTCAAGTACCATTGCTGGCATTAAGGTGAGTTGTGAATGTAGAGAGTGGCCATGAGAAGAAAGAAAGCAGGTTATGCAGGTAGCGGAGTCAAGTACCATTGCTGGCATTAAGGTGAGTTGTGAATGTAGAGAGTGGCCATGAGAAGAAAGAAAGCAGGTTATGCAGGTAGCGGAGTCAAGTACCATTGCTGGCATTAAGGTGAGTTGTGAATGTAGAGAGTGGCCATGAGAAGAAAGAAAGCAGGTTATGCAGGTAGCGGAGTCAAGTACCATTGCTGGCATTAAGGTGAGTTGTGAATGTAGAGAGTGGCCATGAGAAGAAAGAAAGCAGGTTATGCAGGTAGCGGAGTCAAGTACCATTGCTGGCATTAAGGTGAGTTGTGAATGAAGAGAGTGGCCATGAGAAGAAAGAAAGCAGGTTATGCAGGTAGCGGAGTCAAGTACCATTGCTGGCATTAAGGTGAGTTGTGAATGAAGAGAGTGGCCATGAGAAGAAAGAAAGCAGGTTATGCAGGTAGCGGAGTCAAGTACCATTGCTGGCATCAAGGTGAGTTGTGAATGAAGAGAGTGGCCATGAGAAGAAAGAAAGCAGGTTATGCAGGTAGCGGAGTCAAGTACCATTGCTGGCATTAAGGCGAGTTGTGAATGAAGAGAGTGGCCATGAGAAGAAAGAAAGCAGGTTATGCAGGTAGCGGAGTCAAGTACCATTGCTGGCATTTAAGGTGAGTTGTGAATGTAGAGAGTGGCCATCAGAAGAAAGAAAGCAGGTTATGCAGGTAGCGGAGTCAAGTACCATTGCTGGCATTAAGGTGAGTTGTGAATGTAGAGAGTGGCCATGAGAAGAAAGAAAGCAGGTTATGCAGGTAGCGGAGTCAAGTACCATTGCTGGCATTAAGGTGAGTTGTGAATGTAGAGAGTGGCCATGAGAAGAAAGAAAGCAGGTTATGCAGGTAGCGGAGTCAAGTACCATTGCTGGCATTAAGGTGAGTTGTGAATGAAGAGAGTGGCCATGAGAAGAAAGAAAGCAGGTTATGCAGGTAGCGGAGTCAAGTACCATTGCTGGCATTAAGGTGAGTTGTGGATGAAGAGAGTGGCCATGAGAAGAAAGAAAGCAGGTTATGCAGGTAGCGGAGTCAAGTACCATTGCTGGCATTAAGGCGAGTTGTGAATGAAGAGAGTGGCCATGAGAAGAAAGAAAGCAGGTTATGCAGGTAGCGGAGTCAAGTACCATTGCTGGCATTAAGGTGAGTTGTGAATGAAGAGAGTGGCCATGAGAAGAAAGAAAGCAGGTTATGCAGGTAGCGGAGTCAAGTACCATTGCTGGCATTAAGGTGAGTTGTGAATGTAGAGAGTGGCCATGAGAAGAAAGAAAGCAGGTTATGCAGGTAGCGGAGTCAAGTACCATTGCTGGCATTAAAGTAAGTTGTGAATGTAGAGAGTGGCCATGAGAAGAAAGAAAGCAGGTTATGCAGGTAGCGGAGTCAAGTACCATTGCTGGCATTAAGGTGAGTTGTGAATGTAGAGAGTGGCCATGAGAAGAAAGAAAGCAGGTTATGCAGGTAGCGGAGTCAAGTACCATTGCTGGCATTAAGGTGAGTTGTGAATGTAGAGAGTGGCCATGAGAAGAAAGAAAGCAGGTTATGCAGGTAGCGGAGTCAAGTACCATTGCTGGCATTAAGGTGAGTTGTGAATGTAGAGAGTGGCCATGAGAAGAAAGAAAGCAGGTTATGCAGGTAGCGGAGTCAAGTACCATTGCTGGCATTAAGGTGAGTTGTGAATGAAGAGAGTGGCCATGAGAAGAAAGAAAGCAGGTTATGCAGGTAGCGGAGTCAAGTACCATTGCTGGCATTAAGGTGAGTTGTGAATGAAGAGAGTGGCCATGAGAAGAAAGAAAGCAGGTTATGCAGGTAGCGGAGTCAAGTACCATTGCTGGCATTAAGGTGAGTTGTGAATGTAGAGAGTGGCCATGAGAAGAAAGAAAGCAGGTTATGCAGGTAGCGGAGTCAAGTACCATTGCTGGCATAAAAGTAAGTTGTGAATGTAGAGAGTGGCCATGAGAAGAAAGAAAGCAGGTTATGCAGGTAGCGGAGTCAAGTACCATTGCTGGCATTAAGGTGAGTTGTGAATGTAGAGAGTGGCCATGAGAAGAAAGAAAGCAGGTTATGCAGGTAGCGGAGTCAAGTACCATTGCTGGCATTAAGGTGAGTTGTGAATGTAGAGAGTGGCCATGAGAAGAAAGAAAGCAGGTTATGCAGGTAGCGGAGTCAAGTACCATTGCTGGCATTAAGGTGAGTTGTGAATGTAGAGAGTGGCCATGAGAAGAAAGAAAGCAGGTTATGCAGGTAGCGGAGTCAAGTACCATTGCTGGCATTAAGGTGAGTTGTGAATGTAGAGAGTGGCCATGAGAAGAAAGAAAGCAGGTTATGCAGGTAGCGGAGTCAAGTACCATTGCTGGCATTAAGGTGAGTTGTGAATGAAGAGAGTGGCCATGAGAAGAAAGAAAGCAGGTTATGCAGGTAGCGGAGTCAAGTACCATTGCTGGCATTAAGGTGAGTTGTGAATGAAGAGAGTGGCCATGAGAAGAAAGAAAGCAGGTTATGCAGGTAGCGGAGTCAAGTACCATTGCTGGCATCAAGGTGAGTTGTGAATGAAGAGAGTGGCCATGAGAAGAAAGAAAGCAGGTTATGCAGGTAGCGGAGTCAAGTACCATTGCTGGCATTAAGGCGAGTTGTGAATGAAGAGAGTGGCCATGAGAAGAAAGAAAGCAGGTTATGCAGGTAGCGGAGTCAAGTACCATTGCTGGCATTTAAGGTGAGTTGTGAATGTAGAGAGTGGCCATGAGAAGAAAGAAAGCAGGTTATGCAGGTAGCGGAGTCAAGTACCATTGCTGGCATTAAGGTGAGTTGTGAATGTAGAGAGTGGCCATGAGAAGAAAGAAAGCAGGTTATGCAGGTAGCGGAGTCAAGTACCATTGCTGGCATTAAGGTGAGTTGTGAATGTAGAGAGTGGCCATGAGAAGAAAGAAAGCAGGTTATGCAGGTAGCGGAGTCAAGTACCATTGCTGGCATTAAGGTGAGTTGTGAATGAAGAGAGTGGCCATGAGAAGAAAGAAAGCAGGTTATGCAGGTAGCGGAGTCAAGTACCATTGCTGGCATTAAGGTGAGTTGTGGATGAAGAGAGTGGCCATGAGAAGAAAGAAAGCAGGTTATGCAGGTAGCGGAGTCAAGTACCATTGCTGGCATTAAGGCGAGTTGTGAATGAAGAGAGTGGCCATGAGAAGAAAGAAAGCAGGTTATGCAGGTAGCGGAGTCAAGTACCATTGCTGGCATTAAGGTGAGTTGTGAATGTAGAGAGTGGCCATGAGAAGAAAGAAAGCAGGTTATGCAGGTAGCGGAGTCAAGTACCATTGCTGGCATTAAAGTAAGTTGTGAATGTAGAGAGTGGCCATGAGAAGAAAGAAAGCAGGTTATGCAGGTAGCGGAGTCAAGTACCATTGCTGGCATTAAGGTGAGTTGTGAATGTAGAGAGTGGCCATGAGAAGAAAGAAAGCAGGTTATGCAGGTAGCGGAGTCAAGTACCATTGCTGGCATTAAGGTGAGTTGTGAATGTAGAGAGTGGCCATGAGAAGAAAGAAAGCAGGTTATGCAGGTAGCGGAGTCAAGTACCATTGCTGGCATTAAGGTGAGTTGTGAATGTAGAGAGTGGCCATCAGAAGAAAGAAAGCAGGTTATGCAGGTAGCGGAGTCAAGTACCATTGCTGGCATTAAGGTGAGTTGTGAATGAAGAGAGTGGCCATGAGAAGAAAGAAAGCAGGTTATGCAGGTAGCGGAGTCAAGTACCATTGCTGGCATTAAGGTGAGTTGTGAATGAAGAGAGTGGCCATGAGAAGAAAGAAAGCAGGTTATGCAGGTAGCGGAGTCAAGTACCATTGCTGGCATTAAGGTGAGTTGTGAATGTAGAGAGTGGCCATGAGAAGAAAGAAAGCAGGTTATGCAGGTAGCGGAGTCAAGTACCATTGCTGGCATTAAAGTAAGTTGTGAATGTAGAGAGTGGCCATGAGAAGAAAGAAAGCAGGTTATGCAGGTAGCGGAGTCAAGTACCATTGCTGGCATTAAGGTGAGTTGTGAATGAAGAGAGTGGCCATGAGAAGAAAGAAAGCAGGTTATGCAGGTAGCGGAGTCAAGTACCATTGCTGGCATTAAGGTGAGTTGTGAATGTAGAGAGTGGCCATGAGAAGAAAGAAAGCAGGTTATGCAGGTAGCGGAGTCAAGTACCATTGCTGGCATTAAGGTGAGTTGTGAATGAAGAGAGTGGCCATGAGAAGAAAGAAAGCAGGTTATGCAGGTAGCGGAGTCAAGTACCATTGCTGGCATTAAGGTGAGTTGTGAATGTAGAGAGTGGCCATGAGAAGAAAGAAAGCAGGTTATGCAGGTAGCGGAGTCAAGTACCATTGCTGGCATTAAAGTAAGTTGTGAATGTAGAGAGTGGCCATGAGAAGAAAGAAAGCAGGTTATGCAGGTAGCGGAGTCAAGTACCATTGCTGGCATTAAGGTGAGTTGTGAATGTAGAGAGTGGCCATGAGAAGAAAGAAAGCAGGTTATGCAGGTAGCGGAGTCAAGTACCATTGCTGGCATTAAGGTGAGTTGTGAATGTAGAGAGTGGCCATGAGAAGAAAG